CTTTGGCATTCAGACATCGTCTATCCGGTAAACTAAGCCTTGATATCAAATGGTCAATCTAAATCAAATCTTTTCTGTTATTTAATTTGTCTGGCTTTTATATAATATTGTTTTTGCAACGTATATAATATCAATTTATATAATTACTATTGAAAATATTTTTGTTACAAAATTTTCAATACTTCATTATTAATTTCCAAACCATAATTTGCAATTACACAATGTTCATTTAATTTTGATCAGCATTAATTTTTTTTTTTTAAATAATTCAAAATTACAAATTAATCAGAAATTTTGTCCCAATACACAAGTTACATAATATTGAATAAATTCGGTAATATGAGCTTGCTTGAGTGTATTTAAATATATATATTTTATTTATAATAAATCTCAATAAGCACAAAATTGAAAATTTTATGCAACTCAAATTAAATTTATATAATGTTATGCAATTTTAATAAATCAAATATTAATTAAAAATGAAAAAAACGAAAATCGATCAAGTATACAAAAAATTTTTAATATGTCGCTCATTTGCTGCAACAGTGACATAACCCAAAAAATTCGATTTCTGAGCTATTTATACAGAAATGAGCGCTCAGAACATTTCATTTTCGTACAAAAACACCAATTCTATTACATGAAAATTATCGCTTATAATAAATTATAAAATAAGGTTCTAGTCTCTAAAACTCTAAAATTCGATTTTATCAAACGTGAAAATTTTGAGTTATGCCAGTGGAGCAACAGACGAGCGATGTATTAGAATTTCCTCTAAAATGTGCAATATTCATTCAGATCATATGGGATATTTGTATACGAGTAGCAGTACCAGCCTATAGTTTAAATGAATATTATTTCTTTTATATACACACCATCATATACATACGAGTATATAATTTTATTCATGAAATTAACCATCAGAAAAAAATTTATTAAAATGTGCTACATATACTCGTATACGTAATTAAAAATTCTCGAACTTGTTGAATTTTTGTTCTTAGTTTTTTCATTCTTTAATCTTACTACATTTTTTCTAGTATATAGTCCAGTTAGTGATAGCAAGCAATGCATATAAATTAATTTGTAAATATATAATGTGTAATTATAAAATATGTACATCCACAAATACAATTAAATAAACCTCATTCAGATTACTTAACATTTTCTAAAATAAGATTAAGATTGAATAGAACCCTATAACATCAAACAAAAAATAGTCCTTACATTACTGGAGTGGTGCAAATTTAAACCAGACTTTCATGTCATATTTCAATGCATATATATACATACATATATGTATGTACATAATGAGAAGCAAAATCATGAGACATAATGTACATAAAATTCTTATATTATACAGGAAGTCAATTTTAATAGATGAGACAAACAATTTCTATGATTATTTCTGCTGTTTTTTGTTTCTTTTTCTGTATTTTGCCTCTTATATTATTGTGGTGCCTTAAAAAAATGCATATACATAAATAAATAGTAATATTATAGAAGAATATTAAATATAGATATATGCACATACATACATAATTCATATAATACAATAGTTTTTAAATTGTTTTTGCGAAAATTTTCCAGGATGTTTTATTTTTTTTTTTTTTCAATTTTAAAGAATTTTTATGTACATAATAATACCTACACATAGGTATATACAGAATAAAATGTTAGAATAATAATAAAGTATAAGAATTATGTGCATATTTTTTTTTTAATACAATGATGATAGCCAATTAAAAATTGTGATATATGATAACATATTGTATATGAAGACAAATTTAAAATGAAAAAAAAAAAAAAAACAAACGAAAAACATCAAACCGGCAACAAAAAATTTTCTTTAAGCTGACGCACCCTTTTTTTTTTTTGATTTTTGCTTGTTGGGTATAGAACGAAGGAAAGTAAAGTTATCATAAAGATTCAAAGATATTCCAATATTTTGCTTGTAAGATGGTAAAATATTTTTCATACCTACGAGTATTATATGAATTGAAAAAATTCGTACATATAGTGAAAGTAAAAATAATGAAAATTTTTATTTAAAAAATTCTTAAATTCGAAATTTCCGGAAAACTATACTATTCAGCGATTACAGCTCATAAACTGAAATGTGTGTTAATATCGTGTATTCCTGTAATTTTGAAGTCGCCTAGTATAATCACCATGTAAATCTAAAAAATTTTTCATTCATAAAACTTTAAAAAATTAGTAAAACACTAGATTATCTGTAACCTCACTCTTTTGAACCACATTTCCGTACCACCTTTCAAGAGTACCATTTGCACTCTTTTAAGAGCCAAAAGTGCTTAAAAAGTTTATTTGTCCAAATTCAGCAGATGATTTTAAATAAAATGTTGCTGAGATATTTTTTCATTTGTTTCAAAAATGATGTGCTCATTTCCCGATGATTATTCGGTGTTTCTAGATGAAAACATTTTTACTAAAATGAAAAGCATACGCCTTTTTTTCTTCACTGCATTTAATTTGGCACTAGTTTTTTAAAACAAACATGAGGACGCCACTACTTACTGTTATATATGTATATAATCAACGCAAAAAGCACAAAATGTTTGTCAATAAGTTTTAAAGAGTTTTTGGACTTGTTTGTCACTTTAAAGGTATATCTTAAGTTTTATTTAATTTGCATCTTTTATCAATAAATGCCACAAAAAGTACAACAAAGTAATTGTTAAGAAGGCATATTATATACGAACTAACTCGTTAAATAATAATAATTTTGTTATTTTGCAAAAATTATTTTAGAATACAAAACTTAATATTATATTCATAATGTCTTTTAAACTTTCATTTATTTATAAAAAAGCACCTTATATTCTTGAAATTCCGCATATGTTTCATAATATACATATTTCATCAGGGTCAATGATTTTATTTGGGGTATATTGGAGTTCAAAACGATTAATAAAAATAACCACGTAAAATGAAAACAAAAAAAAAACAGGTAGAAAAATGTAGGAAAAGGTTTATATATGAATGTTATATGAACCTATTGTTTAATTATAACTAATTCAAAAAAGTAATTCCGTAAAGAATTTTTTTTTTTTTTGTAATTTATTGTGGGTTCAAAAGGTTGATGTTATAAGAACTCTTGCAATAAGAGTACTCTACAATCCATATTGTGAATGAGTAAAGCAATCCGTTGTCCAGTAATGGTTCATTACTTTATTACTCGAAGTTGCACATTTAAGTTATATTGATTAGGTTGGTTAAAAAAAAGTAGGTACGTACTGTATATATCGTTTGGAGAACGGCTACAATAAGCAACAGTCTTTGGGGAATTTGATATAGTTCTTACCTTTGTTTAGGTAATATAAGTACATGCTTTCAAAAGTTCACTGAATGAAAGAACGAATTCCAAGCAAATGTCAAATGCCGTTGAAAGAAAGTAAATTAAATTATTTGAGTTATTGTTATTATAATTGAATTAGTTGAATTATTTATTATTGAATAAATTATATTTAATAAATCAAATTCTTAATTTAATTGTATTTTAATCATCAATTTTAGTTAGTAATATTTTTAGTTATCCATTAATTTTGTTCTGTTTTCACCTATTCCTGTTCAAAAACAACATGTTTAACAATAATTCTTTAACCGTTTTATTTTTTTAATGAAACATTATTAAAACGAAACATTCCTTATAATCGAAACAAAACTGTTAAAATAAATTTTTATTTAATAAAGCTATTCATACATTCCACTTGTTAATGTGGAACAAAGCTTTATATTTTCTTATTCCTCATAAAATGCATAATATACGTAAATGTTGCCAGCAATACCACTTCATTCAATACATGAATTTTTCACATTTATTCTACAGCTTTCACTTTAAAATTTAAAAAAAAAAGAAAAGGAGAAAAAGAGAATTTATTTGCAATATTTTGATAAAAAATATGTACATTATTATAAAAAAAAATTTGACCCACTTAAAAAGGTAAAGATTGCAATATTAATTAATTGTTTTTGTAGCACTTATGCTACCTTTTCCATTATTAATAAAATATAGTTCACTGATTTGATTCAATACACAATATTGAATTCTATTTCGATTTAATTGAATATTACACAAAAATAATTTATTTCCCTTATTTATTTTCAATTTATCATTGATATATTAATGTTTAATTAAAATCTTTCTCAAAAAATTCCCAACTATTAAATTATTAAAAACAATGAAAAATTGTAAAATCTTAATAAGCTGATTATTATAAAATCATAAAATTATTATTATAAAATCAAAATTGCTTTAATAATAATGTAGGATTCAAGAGACAAATTAACAAATTAAATTCATAAAATATATGAATTGTGTATTAATATACCGTGTATTACTGCATATAAAATACACATATATAAATGGGATTGCCCAGAATCAAACAAAATTACCACCACGGGTTTAACCATCGGCGATAAAATACTCTAAACTTGTTCTTTACCGCTAACTATTCTTTTCTGACATTATCCATTTTCATTGTTCTGAATTAACAACGAAATTCGTCTGTCGTTGCCGTTTACTTCTTTGGTTCTTTAATTTTACAATTAAAATATAGCAAAAGTGATACACCAGAATATAATATTGTGACATTACAACTCTTTTTGACAAATTATAATAAAAGCTTTTAAACATACAATATCTTGGAGAATAATAAATTTGAAATCCACATGCAATGTATGTAGAATTTTCTCTCTTTCTCCCTCTCTTATTATTTAATATTGTATTGTATTTATTTTTTTTCAATGAATTTCTCAAAAACCGCTCTATGGTATTTAAAAATTTTTCAATTTCCATTCAAAATAATTTCAGTCTTTCTCATTTTACTATCGAATAAAGTTGGATTTTCGGAACGAATGAGAAATTTATTCAACGTGTACTGAAAAATATAAAAATTATTTCTTTTAATAAATTTAAGAAAAAAAAAATTACTATTAAAATATTAAATTAAATAAAAAATGAAATAATAAAATTACCAAACTGTGATAAAAAAATTGAAAATTAAATTTTAAAGTTACTTAAATTTTTTATATTTGAAAAAGAAAATAAATAATATTGTTACTTATGAAAAATCACTTAATTTTCTAAAATTATATTTAATAGAATGTTTTTTAATTAAAAATAAATTTACATACACACATACACGCATATACATATAATATTATATGTAAGTAATAAATAATTGAAAATGTGTTCATATTTTTGAATTAAAATATTTATGAATTTAAAATATCGAAACATTTAATATAGCAAAAGAATAAGAAAAACAAGAAATAAAAAATAGCAATAAAAATTGTTACTGTCATTTGTATGTACTCATGGATGTGAAAAACGAAAAACGTAAGTTTCATTCTACTTCTACGGTTGACTACTATTATTTTTGTTATTGTTGCTTTTTTTATTATCTTTCGTTCTAAATAACCTTCACCTCTTTTTGAAATGAACTTTTAAAGTCTAAAGTAATTGAAATTTAGCATATATTTTTTTTTTTTTAAGTAAACAAATTTTGTATTGTGACGTTTTGTCTTTGATTTTTTTTGGATTTTATCAAATATTTTTCTAAGTTTTTATCTTTAAATATTTGTTTATTAAAATAAATGATATACTCATATACACACTTACATATTTATGCACGTATTCAGGCTCCCAATACATTTGAGTGCAATATAGAAGTGCAAAAAAATGCCGGTATATGTAAAATACAATAACGTTAATTTATGAGAACTCATATACATTCATACATGAATGGATTCGTTTAAATGAAATGAGTCAATTGAATAATAACGTGACTTGATTTTGAATAATTTAAGAATCGAAACATAATTATTAGAAATTAATAATTTGTATCTTATATTAAGAATTTCAAAGTTGGATAATCACTTTAGTTTATTATTTCCATTTAATTTATTAGTACCCGATTACCTGTTGTCTATGGAATTGAATAATAATATTGTTATACCGCAAACATTATTTTAAATGATAAATTGAAGTACCATTTTACAATTTTTCGAATTTAAATAATTTAAGCTTTATTGTTTATGAAGCACCACCATAAATCAAAACTTTATAAGTATATACTATACTGTAAAGCTGCACATACTTGTAGCAAATAAGTTTAATTGAGCTCAGCGTCTTTTGCAATAGAAATTTTGTCAGTAATAAACCTTATGAGAAACCGCAAACTAAAAAATATCACATTAAAAACATAATTGTATTATTTTACTTAAGTATATATCAAGAAACTTTGCAACTATATAAGTATTAAATCTATCATCAGAATTTACTAGAAAATAACCATAACGACAGCGGCGTCCTAAAAATACTTTACTATAAAGAGTCAACAAATACTCGTATGTGTTTTTTATACATTATAATAATACTATTAATATTATATACGTTATGGTAAAGTTTTACAAATTTAAATTAAACACTCTTTTGGATATTAACCGTGAGAGGCAATATGCACTAAAACAAAAACTCTTATACTTAAACGATCTTAATATATAAAGAAAAGTTTGCTTATTATAAAAAAATTTAATTGAACACTCTTAGTACTCTAGCAACTACTAGTTCAAAGTTCTAGTAATCGAAAGTAATTCAAAACTGAAAAATTTAATTGATTTTCTAATATTCTTAATTTAATGTTTTTGTAGTAGTACTTATACTACTTATTCATGATTTTTGAAATTGTTTGTATAAGTAGGTACGAGTACATAGACAAATTATAAAATATAAATATTGATCAAATTTCAAATATCTAAATCAAAATATTCTTATCTTTTGCAAAACAACACTTGTTGCTCTCTATACTAATAATTATTATCTTGAGACATGTGAAATGTTCTTATGTAGAAGTATGTTATATATAATTTCACAGGTATGTGTTTGTTCCTATAAATTCTATTTACCGCAATTACAATGCAGCTTAAGACATTTATTTCGCTTTACCCTCTTTAAAACTCGTTTGAAATTTAGCTACTATTTGGTAGAATTTTATAAAATTTTCTCTTGGTTTTAAGTAAGCATACATTTGACTTAAATACCTTAAATAATTCTTACTTAACCTTAATAATTGTGGAATATTAATATAATTATTAATTGATTTGATAAAATATTTTTAATTTGTTGATAATAATTTTTGGATAGAATTTTGAGGATTTAAATTAGTGATCATCAAAGATTCCAAATGTTTGATTTAGTATTATTATTATTGTATTTTGAAATTTTAAATCCTTCCATATTCTTCATTGTTGCAAAGATTGATAATTTATAAAATAATATTGTTAAATGGGTTAGGAGTAATGACTTGTTTTGTCTTATTTGCTTTCACTTTCCTTTTCTAATTGCATTCACATTATAATTTAAATGGCAAATTTCCAACTTAAAATTTTAAAATAATTAAAATTTAATTTTTTTGAATCGCTTTCGAGCTCTACGAGAATACAAGTACATATATATAAACGCATGGATTACTAATACGGAAAAAAATGTTTTTGTTTTTAGCATATTTTCAAAAAAGTTGGAAAAAATATGCATTTTATTTTGACTTTGTTCGCCAGACCGTTAGTGCTTATGTGCTTACAAAATTTTTAAGTTCTTAAAACTTTTTTAAAACATTTTTTTGATAATTTGCCCTTCTCTATTCAGTCCCGCATGTACTGAAAATGATATCTTTTGACAATTTATTGTATTGGAACCAGAAACAATTTTTAAGTTCCGTTATAATAGCTTATTTTAATTTTGTTACAGTTTCTTTTAGTTTTGTTTTGGCCTTAAAGGTATGCAATAACTATCACGAATTAGCATGACACAGAAAACCAAAATGGAACGTTAATTTTTTAAAAAAACAACTTTTTCAACTTGAAATGTGCTACTTTACAAACCATATTGGCTTGATTCGAATTTTGTGTTATTGTTGTTTTCTTTGAAAACACATAATATTCATGTATGTACGTATTTCTGTGGCAAAAAATTCTATTTATAAACATTTTGAAAAATTATTTTTAAAATCCTTTTTTATATTATCTTGTTTTAAAAAGCAAAAACTATTGTATTAAAATTCAAAATTTTCATTTATTCTTATAAAATTCACTTAAATTTGTTTTAAATATTGATATACGACCATATTGTATCACGAATATCGAAAGTTTACACGCAAAATATTGAAAACTTTTTATACACAACTGAAGTTTCCAAAAATATAAAAAATGTTTTAACGGGTTGTTTACATTGTTAAATTATCTAAACATTCTCTATGTTTGTAAAAAAAATTTCTATATGAAAAATTCACTTACGAACTGACCTACAGATGGATACTCTAGAAACTTATTATTCCATTATACTTATATTGGGACAAATTCATTTACTCAAATTAAAATTAAGATAGGTCCCCTGGAATATACACTTAGACTATCTAGACCAGTTATGGTGCCGCCGCATCTCACCATTCTCCTTCATAAGAACTACCCTGAGTTTTCAGAAACCGGCCAAGGTCAGTAGCGTTTACATTCACTAAGCCGTCCGCTGAAAAAAATAGGACCCAAAAAATCTTTGGGTGGAAACCCGCCAACACCGGACAGGAGCATAGTATGTGGGTCACCGTCTCCTCCTCCTCCTCGTCACAGCAGCTCCTACAGAGATCGTTTGCGGAGTGGCCCATCCTCCTGGAATAATATTATATAAGATTATCATTATTTTCAGTTCTCATTTATAACTCTACATATTTGCAATTATTTAACAATTCTCCAAAATAATTTATTTGTTAACTATATTTCATAAAATTATTTAATAAAACATTGCGTGTGTTAATTACAAGTTAATTCAATCCGTAAATCTATATACTTATATAAGTATATACTTAGGTATTAGTTTCTTGAAAAAATTATACATTATGAAAATATTAAAATATTTTATTATCAATCAACAAAAACAATAATAGAATTTATGAATGTTTTTAAATAATTTTTTCAACAAAATACATTGCAAAACTATTTTGTAATTGCTATTTAATAAATAAATTTGACCCATTATTATGAGAAGTGTAATTGAAATTGTCCAATAAAAGTAGGCTGATATCAGAAATTTAACATTATTAATTGATGATATGCACGAAATTACAAAGTGTACCGATTCGCAATATTGCGTAAAATGTGTGTAATACTCGTACTTTCGTTAAGTTATAAGAATATTTTCCATTGGTATAAGTAATCAAAGAATAAACCATTTGTATGTATCTCGATATTCTGGCCAGTGAAAACATTAAGTAGTACATCATACATGACTGCTTCTATAATAAAATTACTTAAATTTTTTACACTTTATAATTTTATTTTTTTGTTGCTTTGTAATTTTCCAGTAATATTTTGTATTTGCTGTAGTTGCTACCATACTTGACAAAATTCTAGTCAATTAAAAATCGAAAATTTGAAAAACTATTCAAAATTTTTATGTACTTACTATATTAGTAGTTATTTGACTTTAAACATTATTCTCTATGTTATCATTTTGCATTCTAATTTATATAAGTAATTAATTTAGAAAAGGTTAATATTTATTTGTATTAAGGTTATCTAACGATTTGTGTTACAAGATTGATTTTGTATATGTTTTGTATAATGATGGCAATCACCTTGTATCATTAAAATAATTGTGTAATGTTTGAGTAAATAATTAAATTATTTCATTAAATTGATTTTGGGTATAGGTATAAAATGTTGTGAATTAGAAAAATTCAACTGAAAACATTACAAAATTATACAAAATACCATAATAAATTCGAAATTGTGATTATTTTTTATTATAATATGAATTCTACAAATAAAGCAGTTTATAATTAAGAAGAGAAAATGCACAACTTAATTATAAATCTGACATAAAACGCAAGTTCTACTTAACTTGCATTGCATTTTGTTCACAAACCGTAATTAATAAAATGTCAAGTTCAATGTAAAACACATACCTATTGTCTTTTCACATATAAGAAAATATCAATTACAATAATTTGTTATTTTTAACCACAAATTATTTAATACCATAAAAATAAAATTAAACAAACTTTTGTAACTCGAGACGGCAATCTGGTACTTACTGTCATTCATTTATAAACTCAAAGCTAAATATAACATTACGGTTACAACTAAAAATAATTTTACAATCAGTGAACTAGTAAATAAACTTATTCTGTAAGACTATATATATGTATATGTCATGTTGAATGCATTTAATTGTGAATTTATTATACAAAAATTACAAGTTATAAAATTGGAATCAAATTTCAAAGCATTTTTTCATTTTATTTTCAATTTATTTGTTCAACTTTATTAAAATTTAATTTTTTCAATATGATGTTATTGGAAATATTTCACAGATATCGGCAAAAAAGAAATATCAGTAAGCTATTATCAGTATATTTAATTAATTTAATAATTATTATTTTTAATTATCATATTTAGTTAGCATCAAAGGAGAAAGCTTCTTCGAATTTACATTGTTAATTTAAAAAAATATTTAATTGTTCTAAAATTATTCACACCTTTTTACCCGACCGCATTGAATTATATAAAAATATGTGTGAAGTGACCAAATTTCGCATGTCGAGATTTCGGCTAAAATGTACTTCTTCGTGGTAAGGAAGCGTAAATAAATTATTTTTAGAAAGATATCGGTCTATACGCCTGCCTGTCTAACTGTCCACATGTCTGTTCAAATCGCAGTATCTCAAATCCGACTGATCCAATTTTGATGAAAATTTATATCTGAGTTTACTTTCATGATGGGACGGTTCGAATCTTTACTACGGGCCGATATTACGTTTTTGAACTTTTTTACAAAAATAATCACCATATATAAGCTTCGCCTGACAATTCCACAAGTCATCTAAATTTTTGAGGAAATCAGGTACCAGCAAGTAAACTTCTATCGAATTTTTCAGAAATGTCAGGACTCGGAAGCACAACTATTACTCAGGATTCGATTTTACATATTTAATCATATCTGAGGAACTATTTAACGGAATTTTTAAAAATTTAATATTGGAGTTCTGGTTGTTAACGCGATGGGCTGGAAAACTGGATCACGATCAAAATGAACCTCTACTAAGAGCCAAATTTATATTTTTCTAGGTACATTAACTAAAACTCACTTTCTATTTTCCATATAGAGTTTGAAATAAATAATTAAAAGAAATTTTCATAATCTTGTGCAACACTTTAACAATGCGGTCTGTTATATGCTGTTCATATCAGATTTTTTTTTGTTGGTTCTATACTAATTTACTGTTTGCAATAAATATTAGAATTAAGTAATTATATAGAATAAATTGCAAAAGTATTATCCAAAAAAAGAACATTTGTCGTGCAGTTTAAAGTCTAATTTCCTATTTGAATAATTAAAAAAAAAAAAAAATTATTAAACTTTACTGAGGCAACCTTTAAAATTTTTAATTGTTTTATCTAATTTTTGTGTATCGCCCTCTCTTATAGAGTCAAATTAAAATGCCCAGATATCAGATTATAAAATTCCCCTTTTTTTTACTAATTTAAATCTCATATATGTAGCTAATTATTATATTTTCTTTTTCAGGTAAAAATTTAACATAAAAATGTTAAGATAGTACCTGGCCTGAACGAAAACAATAAAAATTTTTTTTTTATTTAACCTATTTTTCAATAAAAGCTTTCATATTACGAGTATATATAAATATAATATTGTTCAATTAAAGGTATAAGTTTATTAAAGATACTAAAAAATGGATAGCTCAAAAAAACCGGAAAAGAAAAATCCACGTAAAGGTGCTAATATTTTGTCACAAATATTATTTTTTTGGTCAATACCATTAATGTTTCGTGGTGCACGTAATGGTTTAAATACTGATGATTTAACAAAATGTTTAAAACGAGATAAATCAGAGGATCTTGGTGATAAACTTGAAGAGTAAGTAGCTAATTATAATTAAATATTATAATTATATTTTATGTTTTATTTGTAAATAAATATATACATTATATAGATATTATTATATCTGCAATGTAAAGAAACAATTTATAATATTTATTTAAATTTCTCTTTAAAAATCTTATCGTTGCATATGTTCGTATATAGAATTCACATAATATCCACATGTATCCACGTATATGTATATAAATTTGCTATTATCAGTGATGTAATTTTATTTATATTAAAATGTTTAAAATGTAGACTAAATAAATTTGCAATAAATTAGTGAATAAATAAAATAAAAACGCAATCTATTTAATATTTGAGTAATAAAAAAAAAAGTTGCATTAAATAAAATTACGATTTATTTTCTTATAAGCACTGAACATTCTTATTTTTCCGTTTTCTTGGGTAATAAGATTCCAAAATAAAATTATGGAATTTTTCTTTCGTATTATAAAATACAATACATAATATTCTTAATTAACAAATTATATTCAAACCGCTTCTAAATTCGACGATCTGGACAAAATCGTCTAAGAAATTTAGAATCAGTCGTATGCCTTCGAGTAAAATTTTGTTACTCGTAATCTTCTGTTATACATTTTAACAGACCTTTTAAGGATCACAGTTTTTTTGGCCTTTTTACAAAACGCGACATACGCACATCGTGACGACGGAGAGACGGTCATATATATTCTGGGTGATTGTCCTGTTCTGACTGTCAAGAGGTGCAAATGGTTTGGGCGGAACTTACTCAGTGTTGGAGAACTCTCCTCCAACTCCTTGAGGGATATCGCCGACTATTTACTTGGAACCAGGGTATTGTAAGTGATATATGGAAAGACTACAATAAGCTACGGCTGGCTGTAGTGGTCGGAGGAGAGGAATTCCTTTACCCATATCTCTCTTCACTAATCTACAATCTACAAAAGAATTTATTTAAATAAGTTCTTGCTAATTAAACAAACAATAAATTATAATTCTATTTGAAATGCAATAACTGTACCTTATGAAATATTAATTCGAAAAAAAAATATTGTATTTTGAACTGTAAAACTGGTTTCTTTTCGTCTAATATAAACTATTAATATTATTAATTCATAAATAAAAATTTTTCAAATTTAATTGAATAATAAATTTTATTTTAAATATAAAAGCAATGCAATTATTTTCTCATAATTATAGAAACATGTACTTATAATTTAAAAACTTATAAACTTAAAAAAAAATTATAATAATTTTTTGTTTTTCCATCTTTAATTAATTAAATTTTTAGTCAATGGCTGCGAGAATTAGAAATAGCACATAGTAAACAAAGGAAACCTAAATTACGTAAAGCGATGTTAAGAGCATATTGGCCCCAATGCGTTGTTGATGGTTTATTATGCCTGTTTTATACAATTTTAAAGTAAGTTTTTTTTTGTTTAAATTTGAAAAACAAAATATATATGTATAAAATATTTTTAATTGAAATTTAATTAAAAATTTCTATATTCTTTATTTTATACCGTCTCTCTTATATATATAATTTGTATTTTTGTAGATCAGCTATACCACTTGTATTGGCCCAATTATTATTTATATTTCAACAACCAGTAAATGTAATTGATCCAGTCAATGGTGTTCAATTAAATACAACACCATCAATATCATCAGATATTGTAAATCGTTATGAACGGAATGCATTTTTTTATGATGATACCATACAATATGCTGCCGCTAATGAGAATCATGAGAAAAAAAATCATATTTTTAATTATGTCCCAGATATTGATGATAAGAGTAAGTTAAAAATAATTGAAATACATTCTAATTATAGTGATACAAAATGGTGATACAATTAAATAAATATGTGCTGTAGAATTTTTTTTTTTTCCAATTATCTAATAATAATTCAAGAATAATACAATAAAATATAGAATTGATTTATTTATACAAACCTACATATTTGAAAATAACACTTAATTAGAAAATGATTTAATTGAAATATAACTTAGCTACAAATAGCATAACTTTGTACTAAATTAATCCACTAACAGAAATCATTTTATTTTTATATTAATTACATAAATTTTAATTATACATAAACTTGTTACATAGGATTATATTGGTTATTTGAACTACCCAACGTTGGGCGCCAATTACTATTTTTCCTATTGTTCTTCATTTGAATGCCTTAACTAAGTCTGAGGCAGCATCACTTTAAAATTATTATGCCTTAATTCTTTGAAAAAATATCAAATTTAAAGATTCTTTTCACAGTAAATCAAGCCACAATTGCTCAAAGCAGAGGCAGCTTTGTATACGGCATGTTTCATTCAGAAAGGTTCGTTATCTAAAGCTTTATAATATGCAATACATTTCAACACTCTTCCCAATTTCAACAATATAAGTTACGGCTCTATTCACATCTTCATTCTACGTTCAGTTAGTTTTAATCAGGCATTTGAAGACCTTGAAAATAGAAAAATTTTATTCAGTTTACTATGTAATATTTTTCAATGCAATAAACCCAATTAATTCTTGTTTTTTTTATTGTATTTTCATTTCGTTACACATAGCTATTGTTATATACAGAATATAAGGCTGATTTAAGTTCTAAAATGCGATCCTCTTATCAGTAAAGTAAATAATATTGTAACATAGCTTTAATTTTGCATAGTTGGTCTTGTGTTGATAAAATGTAATTTATAATTATTATTTCTTTTGTATGAGATATGAATAATAAATAAATATTTACAATTGTACATACATTAATAAATGAATGACAATTAGAAATAGTATGTATGTATGTAATGATTATTAAGCTTATGACACAAACTTGGAATGTTGCATATTGTTATACTACTTACTGTTCTATGCACTGGTTTATTTGTTAAGAAATATGCAAAGAACAAGAATTTCTATGCAGCACTGTAGGGCAAGAATATTGATGGTGTAGTCGATTGTACTCGTAAATAAATGCAACTGCGACGGAATTGAAAATAATCGAGTCTCGCTTTAGAAAAATAAAACAAACTTAAAACTCTAATTGATTAGACCAATTTTTGGAAACCAAAACAATGCTTTAATTTTTAACGATGCTTTAATCACGATGCTTTAATTGAAATTTTTAACGAGTAGGAAATATTTTCTTGTATCTTTATGTGGTTATAAATTTACTATACATTAATATTAAATTCTCATTGGAATTCTTACAGTCATAATTTATTTCTGTATTTTGTAGATAATGGAGGGCAAAACAACATTGAAAATACTATTTTAAAAGATATTAATAGAACTGGGATTAATGATGACAAAATTTACGATAAGTCAGTTGATGATGTTGAGGAAACGAATATATCTGCCAATGAAATTGGAACAGTTGAAGAATTTTTTATACATATTTGGAATGATGTTTATTGGTTAACGGCAATTCTTGTTCTTTCAACATTATTTGGATGCTTTTTAAATCATCATACTGATCTTAGGCAAAGGCTGTTGGGGGCTCGAATGAGAATAGCATGTTGTTCATTAATTTATCGAAAAACATTACGATTGTCGAAAAAAACGGCTGGATCAACACCAGCTGGTTATCTAATAAATTTGCTCTCTAATGATGTGGGACGTTTAGATTATGGTTTTATTTTTGTTCATTATATCTGGATATTACCAATACAATCAATTTTAATAGCATATTTGATATGGTTAAGAATAGGATATGCAGCATTTGTTGGTGTTGCTGGTCTTCTATTGAAAACGGTACCAGTTCAAACTGGTTTAAGTAAATTATCATCGAAACTTCGTATGAAAATTGCTCAAAGAACTGATATAAGAGTTGGAATAATGAATGAAATAGTTCAAGGCATTCAAGTAATTAAAATGTATGCATGGGAAAAGCCATTTCAAAAAGTTGTTGCAGAAGCAAGACGACGTGAAATCAAACAAATCCGATATGCTTCATTTTTACGTGGATTTTATTTAAGTACAATGGTTTTTACTGAACGTTCAACATTATTCATAACAATTGCTGCTATGGTCTATTTAAAGGAATCAGTTACAGCTGATGTTGTTTTTTCTGCAGCACAATATTATAATATTTTACAATTAATTGCAGCCATATTTTATCCTATGGCTGTCTCATTTGGTGCAGAAGCTTTAGTTTCGATTGATCGTATTGAAAAATATTTGCTAATGGAAGATCACGATGATAAAATGATCGGACTTGAACATAAAACAGATTTTTCAACATTTGATGAAAATTCCAAAGCAATTATATTAAGAGAAGTAACTGCAAGTTGGGATCGTGGAGTAAGAATAACATTAGAAAATATTAACATAAACGTTAAAAAGGGTCAATTATGCGCAATTATTGGACCTGTTGGAGCTGGAAAAAGTTCCTTATTACAATTACTTCTTGGCGAACTACCGATAGTTGATGGTATTGCTACTATACATGGAGAAATATCATATGCTTGTCAGGAACCTTGGTTATTTACTGGAACTGTAAGAAATAATATATTATTTGGGGAGAAATATGAAAGAAAGCGATATGCGGAGGTAATGTAATTGTTGCTTTCATAATGTAAATTCAATTTCTAATGATTTAAATTCTTATGCAAGCACTCAAATTTACTTTTATGTTACAGGTAGCCAAATGTTGTGCACTGTCGACTGATTTTGAACAATTACCTAACGGTGATAAAACTATTGTTGGCGAACGTGGTGCGTCATTATCAGGTGGTCAACGTGCTCGTGTTAGTTTAGCTCGAGCTGTATATAAATCAGCATCAATTTATCTTCTTGATGACCCTTTAAGCGCTGTAGATGCGCACGTTGGTCGCCATTTATTTGATGAAGTTATAGGTCCAAAAGGACGACTAGCAAAAGAAAAAGCTACTCGACTTTTGGTAACACATCAAGTGCACTTTTTATCTGAAGCTGATTGGATTATAATTGTAGAAAATGGCAAAATTTCTCATCAAGGCACTTATAAGGATTTATGTGAAAGTGATCTGGATTTTGCAAAACTATTAGAAAAACCTGAAACAAACACTTCAGAATTAAATGATATGGAAAGCGAACTTTTAGAAGATGATGATGATATTCCTTATATTGATGGTGTTCCTGGCTATCAACCCTTAACAAAAAAGAGAAGCCCATCGGTAGGATCTACAACTAAAAAATCCGTAAGTATAAGCTGTACTTACTACAATATAACTGTAATCATAAAAAATCATGTAAAAAAAATGTAAGTTCTATAATTCTTACTAATTATTAAATAACCGACCCTTTAAACATGCAGCTAAGTTTAGATGGTTTATCAAATGTAAGTTATACTAAGTTATTTTAGAGTGTAGTATAAAGTTATTTAAAATGGCTACTAGTATAAATAATGAAAGTAACTAGTAAGTAAATAATGAAATTTTGAAATTTATTTAATGTTCATAGTCGAGCGCCGATACCAACGAATCTGCGGATGATTTGGACACAGCAGAAGACCAGGCACAGGGTGGTGTATCCTTCCAAGTATGGAAAAGTTATTTTTTGGCTGGAGGAACAATATTTGTATTATTTGCATTACTATTCTTCTTAATATTATCACAAATTATAACAAGCGGTTCAGACTATTTTGTTAATATTTGGACACAACAGGAATATTTAAGAATGAACAATAGAACGACAATGTTAACGACATATGAATGCTTATACATTTATGGAAGCCTAATAATTGGAGTAGTTATTGTAAGATTTTGCATAATACTGTAATATAAATTTTCTATTAGACTAAAAATATTCAATCCACAGATGACAATTTTGCGCGGTTGGTTATTCTTCAAAATTTGTATGCACGCATCAAAAGTATTACATGACAAAATGTTTGGTAGTATTTTACACACGACAATGAGATTTTTCGATACAAATCCATCTGGCAGGATTTTAAATCGTTTCTCGAAAGATATGGGTGCTATAGATGAAATGTTACCGAGGGCAATGATGGAATTCATTCAAATTGCATTAGTTATGTTCGGTATTTTAATATTGATTAGCGTTGTGAATCCGATTTTGTTATTAGCTTTAGCAGTTGCTGTTATTATTTATTTGTTAATTTTGAAATTATATATGCGACCGTCACAAGATCTGAAACGTTTAGAAGGAATATGTGAGCAGTAAAACAAAAAATAAATTGAATATATTTTTTAACATTTATTTTGAAATATTTTAGGTCGAAGTCCGGTATTTTCACATTTATCTGCAAGTTTAACTGGTATATCGACAATACGCGCAAGAGGATTACAAGAAAAGGTAATTGAAGAGTTTGATGGATTACAAGACGTTCATAGTGCTGTTTGGCAATTAACAATGTCAGTTAATACTGCTTTGGGTTTATGGTTAGATTGCGTCAGCTGTGCATTTTTAGCTTCAGTTGCATTTAGCTTTATTCTTCTTTATCAAAGTAAAACATTAATAAAAAGTGTTAAAAATATAGAAATAAAAAAAATTAATTCATTGATATTCAGATACGTTCAGTGGTAATGTAGGATTAGCGATTTCACAGGCCATGATTTTAACAGGAATGGTGCAATATGGCGTACGTCAAGTTGCCGAATCAGTACAACAAATGACTAGTGTTGAACGTGTTCTTCAATACACAGAACTGGAACAGGAAACAAAAAGCTATTCAGCATCACCAAAAGGATGGCCAAGTTCTGGAAAAGTATCATTTAAGAAAATGAGCTTGAGATATGATTTAGAAAAACCACCGGTACTTAAAAATTTAAATATAACAATCGAACCTAGTTGGAAAGTGGGTATAGTTGGTCGCACTGGTGCTGGAAAATCTTCTCTTATTGGTGCTTTATTTCGATTAGCACCAATAGAAGGAGAAATTTTAATTGATAATATTGAAACAGGATCAATTCCATTGTCAGATTTAAGAACAAATATTTCGATTATCCCACAAGACCCAGTGCTATTCTCTGCAACAATTAGATATAATTTAGATCCATTCGGAAAATACAGTGATAGTGAAATCTGGAAAGCAATCGAAGATGTTGAATTAAAGCAGGCAATTTCTGATGGCTTAGATTTTATGGTTACCGAAAGAGGTAGCAATTTTAGTGTTGGGCAGCGACAACTAATTTGTTTGGCTAGAGCTATTTTGCGTAACAATAAAATATTGGTTCTTGATGAAGCTACAGCAAATGTGGATCCCCAGTAAGTACTTTAATACAAATAATTTTCAAAAGCGCAATTTTATTTTAATTAAATTTATTGTAGAACTGATGCTCTTATCCAAAAAACAATTCGGGAAAAATTCAAAAATTGTACTGTCTTAACTGTTGCGCATCGTTTACATACTGTCATGGATTCTGACAGAATTTTAGTTATGGAAGCTGGTTCTGCCAAAGAATTTGATATTCCACATTTGTTGTTACAAAATCTTAACGGAGATTTAAGACAAATGGTAGAGGCAACTGGACCACATGATGCCGAAAATCTAAAAAGAATTGCTAAACAAAGCTATGAAAGAAGTAAATCTCTTCATTAAAATTTGTGTAAAAAAATATGCATTTGTAAGGCATAATATGCACACATACTTATACATTATGTACATTAATTTTTAATAATTTTAGTTTATAGTTTATTTTTATAGTATGCTGTTACTTAATATAAGTTTACATTTAAAAAAAAATGTTCACACTTAAAATAGCTCATATAAATTATTTTTTTTTTCATATTTTAAATTAATTTTATTTTGGAAATTAAAAATTAACTGCCATGGAATGCATTCAAGTACATAATTAAAACATGGATTCCTTAAAATTTTTGAAGATAATAACAAATTTCTCACAAAAGTGCCTCTATTTTCATAATCCAATAATATACTATAGTTCACAATATCTTAACGTTAAACTGTTCAAGCAAAATGGACTGCGTGGCTTTGATATTATATAACTGTACTTACGATAGTAGTATGTGCCTTATATTATGTACTTTAAAACTTTAGTTTGCAGCACGAAATGCAAAGGAAAACGAAATAAATTTATAAGTAATTTTGGATAATAAGAGTAGAAAATATAAAAAAATTTTATACATAAAATAAATAAAGATAAGTTGATAAATTAATAAAGAAGCAATTTCATTTTTTTTAATAATTAATAAAAATGACAAATACTTGCACAAACATGTACAATGTATGCTAGATATTTTGTCGGTCTGTAATACTTCTTACCATTATCTACCAATAAAAATTAACAATTTAATTAAAATTTTTGTAAAAGTAACTTGGCTTATTTACATTTTGCTCACATAATACATTTGGGTCCTGTTTACACCTGTGCATGCGTACATAAATACATAAATCGCATACAAGTTCATATTGAAATTAATAAATTTATTTATGAATGCTTCATTTAACTATAACACTGTGTAAATATACAGTTTTAAAGCTCTCAATAAATTCTTTTTTAGAATATTCTTAAAGTATTCTTATTCACAACACTTGTATGACATTTTTTCATTTAATTTATGTGAAAAATTCATTTATTGCGGAAGTTTTTTTCTGAAAAAGTACATGAGAGATCTTAAAAGTTTGAGAATCAGTAATCAGTGTAGTACGCATATAAATGTAGTTTAATTAATGCTACGTGACATACCTAATAATTTAGAAAATTGTGTAAACACCACTTCAGAAATGTTCAGGGATTTGCAAGAATGAAACTAATGAAAAAAGTCATAAAATCTGGTAATACTAGTCTAACTTTTAATTGACAACTTGAGAATTGACAAACCTAGTAAATGTCAAACTTAGAGCAGACATAGAACAAACTCAACATTATTAACATTTAATCGATTATGTAAAAAACATGCAAATTAAATTGTAATGAAACTATTTTAAATTTTTATCATTCTAGCGCATATTCTAAAAATTTTTTTTAATTTAATTTTAAAGTTAACGAAAAATCAAATATAATTTATTTTTTAAAAATTTGAAAATAGTTTGAATTTTATTTAAAATGTTATCATTAATGCAAGTGTTAAATTAATCGATTAATAACCCCGATTTTGATAGTTTTTAAACTAATAACTATCTCTAATTTGTGGCTATTCAGTAAAATTGAAAGAAATAACAATTTAAATGAAATTTAATTTTCATCCGTTCCGTGTTTTAAATTTTAAATATTCTTTAAATAAAAATGTCAGTAAAAATAGCTGATCAATGAGGCAAGGTTTACTTAGTGGTGGTGATAATACGAATAATCGTATAATGTACAGAGATTGGCGGACAGCTCTGTCTTCGCCACCAACATATCGTATAGGGAATCGTAGTTTTCGATTTAATTATTATGCTGTATTTTTAATTTTAGCAATTTTGTCATTAATATTTATGTTTATGTACGTTAAACATGACTCCTCAAGTTCATCAGATTCATGGTCTCAACGACTGAGACCAGTATTAATTGAAGATTCATACAATGCAACGTATCCTTTAAGTACGCCAATTTTAATACGTGGAAGCCCAACTTATCGTATAGCAATCGTAGCAGATTTAGATACAAACTCTAAGGTAAAAGATAAAGATGAATGGAGAAGTTATATGAAAAACGGATTTTTAAGCTATAATTCACAAAAAAAATCAGTTGTTATTACATGGGAAGAAACAGAACCATCTGAATTAGTATCAAGTTATTCATTAAAAGGACGTGGCATGGAATTATCTGAATTAGTTACATTCAACGGAAAATTATTTACAGTAGATGATAGAACTGGCCTCATATATGAAATTGTAAAAGGTAAAGTAATACCTTGGGTTATATTACCTGACGGCGATGGTAGTATAGCTAAGGGATTTAAAGCTGAATGGGCGACTGTTAAAGATAGATTATTATACGTTGGATCCATGGGAAAAGAATGGACTTCATCGCAAGGAGATTTTGAAAACGAGAATCCAATGTGGGTTAAAACGGTATCAGCAAACGGAGAAGTTAAGCATTTAGATTGGTCTGTATATTATAAGTTAATGAGGGAACATATTGGTATTACATGGCCAGGTTACATGATCCATGAATCTGGAATGTTTTCGAATAAGAATAGAAAATGGTATTTCTTGCCAAGAAGATGTTCACGTGAAAAGTAAGTTAAGATCCTTTTTTTTTTAATTTTTATAAAATAAAATTTTTGGATTTAGGTATAACGAAACGCGTGACGAGCATATGGGGTGTAACGTATTGATATGCGCGGACGAACATTTCACTGATATTAAAATTACGAAAATTGATAAAATTAAACCAACACATGGATATTCTAGTTTTAAATTTATTCCTGGGACCGATGATCAAATCATTGTCGCATTAAAAACAGAAGAAGTTAATGGTAAAACCGCTACTTTTATTTCTGTATTTGACGTAAATGGTGGAATTATACTTGAAGAAGAAAAAGTTCCAACTGATTTAAAATACGAAGGTTTCGAGTTCATTTAATTCGAACTAAATAATAAAGTAATTAGGATTTGAATATTCGTAAAAAGAAAAAATATGGGTACCTAAATGTTTATTACATAAACATTTCATTGTTAATTCCTACAAAATGTTTTACGATTTAATTTGAATACAACGTATTAAACTTTAAGTATTTTTAATTTAAAATATCTCTAGCAAATAGATTGTGTTAAATCATAGAAATTTACGATAGAAAAATTTTGTAAATACTTTCTAATTTTATTGGTAAAAAATCCAAAAAAATAGTAAATATAACTTATAGTGTAGTATAATGTATTTATATTGCTGATCAAATCAATAAATTTCCTGTAAAAGCAATTAAAATTACTGAAATGAATTTATGTAAATATAGTTGAAATTGAACATTATGCTTGGCTTTTTTCTTCTTCATTTGAATCTTCTGTGGCTTTTATAAAATTGGGATCGATACCTGCTATAATCATGTCATTTTCTTTTATCCTTCCTTCCTTGGCTCGAATTTCTAATCTGCAAATGGGAAATATTCAGATTAATATTCAATTTTTGTAATAGGGAAATACAAACAAACCTATCTTCATTATGATTAATTGACCAAAACTCTGGCATGAATTTTGGTTTCATAGTGTTCAAAAAATGTTTTCTCCACAATTTTTCTAATTCAATAAGTCCACCAAATTCATCCTGATATTTATTAACTACTTTAATTCCGTGGCAACAATAATTTTCTACAGATTCCCTAGAAAATTTGAATATAAATTTCGCAAAAATTTTAGATATTCTTTTAATAACGAACTTACAATACTTCTACATTTGCAGCGTATTCTAATAGGTCAGAATTTATTTCAGATTTTTCGGGAAAATTGTCCAAAAGAACTTGTTTCAGCTGCTCTCTTCTTTCTAATGGTATTTTACTTGCGTTGTACAGCAATGCTCTCGCTGCAGATCTAATTTTTCTGGAAAATAATTCTACTTGTTGTAGTTTTTGTTACTGAAATTAATTTAATCTTACTTTAACTTAGGATTTTCAACAAATTTTGCTCCTCCCTGATGAAAAAGTAATGGCGCTTCACAAGACTTTGCCAAATTTTCCCTAACTTTAAGATCCGATATGTTGCTGACTTGATGACAATTGGGACATAATAATAGTACATCATGTGACGTGTGAGATTTCATTACATCTACAGAAATGTATCAATATTTTTAAAATAAAAGAAGATCGTTTTCATAATTATAGTACCTACCTGGAAAATGTTTTCTATATTCTCGTGGCACTATATTTTTTCGAATAAATCCATCTTCACTGCCACATACGACACAACGATTTTCTTTTGGTATTTGATAGTACTTTCCAACATCACCAACAGCTCTTCCCGCAGGTTCAAAATTTAATCTAATTGTAAAAGGATCTTCTTCTATTAGGTCTGCTAAATTTTGATCTAAATACCATTGTGCTTTTCTGCGTTCACAAGTGCAAAGTAAATCTCCATCTGGAGCTTGCATAAGACAATTATCGTATAACGCTTTTGTTCTTGCCAAAGTTGTATATGTTCTCTTAATTACTTTATTATTTTTCTTTTTCGATTCTCCAAAATTTGAAAGAAAGGACATTTTCGATATATTGCTAGAATAACTATCTTTATATTTCATGTCAATAAAAGGCTCAATTGATGTTAAAAATTCGTCATGTGTTTTTTTTCTAAACCAGTATATTCCCATTATTTCTTTAAAGTATACTTTATACACTTCCATGGCAACTAAAGCATCATTGGCAGCATAATTGATTTGTCTTTCTGTCAGTGAATGAGCTTCCCAATTAGAACAGCTTACTCTCCAATCTTTGTCCAATTCAAGGTCTAAAATAGACTTAGCCATATTAGCCATTCCTTCCGGTTTTCTACTTGCACGAAGAGCTAAAAATCTCAAGTCTATCGTATTAGAAACTCCAACTCCATAATCTTGAGATAATTTCATTGCATCTTCACTTGGAATTATACCGACTTTTAAAATATTGTCATCTTCTAAAATTTCGCGCAATTTCATAGGAATATGTTTTAATTTACATAATCTTATTAAAGCACAAAGACCACTATGTGAAGCAAGTTGTAAAAGCGCTACAGGACGTCTAGAACCACCAACATTCACCCACTCACAATCAAAACCTAAAACTCGAAACTGTTCGCAATCACTAGAAAAATATTTGGTAACAGTTTATCATTATTTTCTATAAGAATGATTCTTACTTTTTTAAATTTACAGCAATTCGATTACAGTGATCGGCATCTTCCACAATTTCAACTTTCTTATTTCGCAACGGACCACCAAATTTACATGCTTTTCGAATACTATTTATGATAAGAGACCTTTTTCGAAAGAGAAAATAAACAAATCCTATTCCAGCGCCTGCAAGAATAGCATTCGAAACATTTCTCTTTTGAATTGATGAGGTTACCATATTAATATTAAAATTATAATTTTATTTCCCTTTTAAAGTATCAAAATCGTGAAATTTTATTTACACGTTGTGAAAATCATAACAAAACACATTACGAATCACACAGTTGTTTCTTTTGCATTGCTTTTGATTAAACTGAAATTTTCTTTACAATAAGTCGGCCAGATGTACCTTATTGACAAAACAGTACTATTCAAGAATATTTGAAGAAATGCATAATTATGTATATTTTATATACATAATTACAATATAAACTGTTTTTGAATTGTGAATTATAATCCGGCGAATAAATATAATAAAATATTTAGTAACGTGAATAGATAAAAATCTTATATATTAGACTATTTGACATCAGACTCTATATGACAGCAAATAATAGGGCTTACTCTGTTCTCGTCAGATTTAATCTCAGATTTTCTAAAAGTAAAATAGCGAAGCGACACATGGTGAGATGAAAACAAGGTCAAAAAAGTTTTGCAGGTTTTAATTATTCTTACTCTTATTTTACTACATTCAGAAATCGATGGTCACACATTTCAGTGTGTTGTCAAAATTGTCAAACGTAATAAATAAAAACAATACACAAAAGTTGTTTTTAAAACCTTAGAAAAAAAAATTGAAAATTAGCCTTTGATTGAGATAAAAATAATGGAAACAAAAAAAATTACTTTCGGTTTTACAAAAACCATCAAAAAACCTCAATTGCAAGCAAACAAAAAGGAATCGGTCATCAAAAATAAAACAGAGTTAATAACATGCTTAGAGGATAATAAAATAAAATTTGTTGAGTAAGTATTGATCATTTATTTTTTGAGGATTTTAACAAAATTTCTATTTTAGTGAATCTCCAAAAACCGAAGATGAGCGTTTGGTTATTCCTCTGCAAAATTCCTCAAAAACGTCAAAAGCTTTGGAAAGTTTAAGACGACGTAAAGCTGTTTTAGAAGGAATTGACATTGAAGAAAGCAAAGATAATGTGAAACAAATATCTAACTCTGAAAGCATAAACAATTTACAATTGGACTCGTTAGAAAAACGTGCTATTACAGAGTTACTAATTGAAGCACGCAAAGATTTCAATGGAGATCCAGAAGAAACTGGATCAAAATTGACTCTTGTTGTTAAACCAGAAGATCTACCATTAGATGGAGCCGAAGAATCAACTCTAGAGGATTATGGAAATATACCAATCAATCAATTTGGTATGGCTATGTTAAGAGGTATGGGTTTAAAGGATGAAGTAATCAAAAAGAAAAAGATCGAAGATGATATTTGCCCACGTCCTAAGGGAATGGGTTTAGGGGCTGACAAAGCTGTTAAACGTCAACCCATGTTAATTCCTCCTGAAGAAAATGAAAAGCTAGAAATAAAAAAAAATTCATTTATCAAAATATTAGCTGGAAAGTATAAAAAACAATACGGTCAAATTGAAGGTTTAGATGACAGAACCGGAAGAGTTATAGTTAAATTAGCTTTAGGTGGTTTAAAAGAGTCTTTATGTGAATATTTGTTACAACCTGTATCAAAAAAAGAATACCAGACATATGGAAAGGTTATAAGTAAGTATTGTACTTAATTTATTTAAAAATTGTTATTTATGCTTAAATATATGACTAGATTCTGAAAAATACGAGGAATACAAAAGGAAAGCTGAAATTAAATTAGCACAAATTACAAAAGAAGAAAATTATCTAAAAGAGGAACCTAAAATAAAGACGGAAAAATATGACGAAAGTTATAAGTATGACACAAACCAAAAATATTGTAAAACAGAAATTAATAAAAGAGAAGGGTTCAAAATTAAAACGGAAAATGAAGATTATACACATAATTCTAAAAATAACTCCAATATAAGTAATTCTGATTCAAAAATTAAAAGTGTGTCATCAAGACGGCAGTCACCTAATAAAGAATATTCAGATTCACGACGCAATACAGAATTCGAAAAAAATCAAGATGATAAAATTGAGAACAGGAAAACTTTTAAGTCGTATGAAAATGACAATAACCGTTTACTGGATAACGACACACCTTTAAGACGTAGATCACGGTCAACTGAAAGAAGGAAGAAAAGACTTACATCTGAGTCAAGTGAAGATTATCCGGAAAAATATAGGTATAAAACATCAAAATCTAAATCATCAAAATCGAAGAAGCATAGAAGAGATAAACACAAGTACAAATATAGTTCTTCGGATGATGATAAGAAGCACAAAAAGAAAACGAAAAAAAGCAGAAAATCTAGATCTAGATCTAGATCAAGAAATAGAAGATAGATAATTTGACAATGGTAATTTCAAAAAGAAAAAAACAATAAAATAAAATTTATAACAAAATATATTTTATTTAAAATTTTTGGTGTTTATTACAGTTTTATATTTTATTCTATTTAATCTTATTTATCTTCTTGTTATTTTAACATTAAGTTTGGTTTCTTAAAACGAATTAAATTTAATTTATCCTATAAAATTTACAAAGTAACTTTTATCAAACAACTAAAAAATTTATATCTACCTATATTTATTAAAGCGCTGATTCACTGTGTTTTAATTTGTTCGGAATGTTTTTAGTACTGTAGCCGTTCTAAAAAATATCGGATATTAAAGTAAAAATAATGATTCAAAACTTACATTAAAAGTTGATAACAATTTCATTTTCAATCTTATTCAATTTCGAGAATTAATATTTAAATTAATTGTAAATTCATTGTAAATGAAATTGTTATCGACACCACAAAATAATTTTCAACGCACTGTTTCTTGCATTTTTTGATCAGACATGAATTTTCTTATACATGGTGTTATTAAAGCTTTGTCCACTTTTTTAATATCATTACGTCCAAATATTAACATACAAAGTATCGCTACAATAATTGTGGCAACAGCACCCAAACATGTATACCACATATAAGAGATCTTATACAAAACAAATATATCACTGAAATATTAAAGAAATTATTTTAAACCTTTAAAAGCTTATATTTACTTTAAAAAAGTTACTTTGATTTAGATGTTAGCTCTGTTGAATTTGTTATAACATTGGTTGTATCAAATTTATAAGTGCAATTTTCAATAGATAGGATTTTCGTATCATATTTTATTGCACCAGATGCTATACCCCATTGTGCATTTAAACTAATCCATGACATTAATACAACTCCTAGGATACCACCAGTTAATGCACTCTGTAATATATATAAGGTTAAAATATTAAGATTTATTCAAAATATTAAACTTTCTTAAATAAATTCATACGCTTCCATTGATCCATGGCATAAATATACCCAAAGTAAAAATACCAAATAATGGACCATTTGTAATTGCTTCTAAACTCATTGTTAATTGTAAAACAGTTCCCATTTTTTCAACAACATAAACTAAACAAAGGCATAAAATTCCAAGTAAAACAACAACTGATCGCATAATCCAATCAACGGCTCTATCTGATAATGGATTCTTAACATATGGTTTGAAAAAATCTTCTAATACAACTGCAGACATTGAATTCAAACATGTTGAAAGTGAACTTAAAGCAGCACTAAAAACTCCAGCTATAAATAAACCAGATAAACCTGGTAAATCTCTTAAGATATCCATTACAAAAAGTGGCAACAACTGATCTCTTACTTTTGCTAACTACAAATTTTTATAAAATTTAATAAAATTAATATTTTCATATATGTATAAATGGAAGTTCAATTGAAATACAAAGTAAATTCAAACCTTTGTTGTTAAAGGATCACAACCCTTATAAGTAGCATATATTAATAAACCATTATAACTGCATAACATCATTAATGCCATCACACCTACAACAAATATAGTCAAAGCTTGACGACCAGCTTTTAATGAAGGCAATGACAAATACCGTTGTATCATATTCTGAGAAACAGCATTTGTTTGAGTCCAATAAAATACACCGCCAATAATTTGTGACCAAATTGTATGACGAATTGTTGGATCAATATTAAAACTGTATCACAAAAAAAAAAAAAGACACAAATGCAAAAATTTGTAATTGATAATTACAATTTTTTTTTTTTATTTCATTCTTACTCTGGCCATTCTATTCGCTCAGATTCTATGCCTTCAGTTATAACGGCTAATGCTCGTGAAGAACCTAAATCATATGTACCTTTTACAGCAACTAAAAGTAAAGCACCAAACATTGAAAATGTTTGTATAACATCAGTCCAAACTACTGCTTTTAGACCGCCCTACAAATGAAATTAAGTATGAAATTTTTTTTTACTTTTTTTATATTAAAAAACAAAGTTTGCAACATGTAGTTTATCTTACCACACACGTATAAAAAATGCACACTATACAAACTACCGGCGTTATTGTGTGAACGCTAACCCCAGTAACTAAAAATATAGTAAGACAAAATTTAATTGTAATTACAATAAAATTTCCAACCTAAATCTAAATAAGTAAAAATTGAAATTTTATAATACACACCTTGATTAAAAGCTAAAGCTGGTACATATATCACAATTGGTAAATAGGCAATCTGAAAAAAAATTAAGGCATTATAAATTTTAATTACAAAAATATTCTTTTTCAATTTATTCAAAATATTTATTTGATATGAAAAGAAAAATTTACTTACGTTCATTAAAGTAAACATAATCGAACCAAATAATCTTAAACGACTATCGAAACGTTTTTCCAAATACTGAAAAGATTAAAATAATTTATAATTTCCATATTAATTATGTAGATGCATACTTATATATTTAAAATAAATATTAAAACTATATTGAAAGAATAAGAACAGTTCTATTAGGTTTTCCTTATAAAAGAGTAGAGTAAAAAATTTTAGGAAAGCATTTGACAAAAGCGTCTTCTGTGCTTTTTTCTGTATAAATAACTCCGAAATCTTGGTTTTTGTGATATCAGACTGCTGCAAATGTTGAAACCACAAATTATTAAATTTCGCAAAATGCACCTATTGCCTTCATTTTGGCTAGTTTAAGGGAAATGTACTCTTACTTATAAATTCAAACCCATATTCGGTTCCAACCCGAATTTCTTCAAAACAATTTAGGTGAATTTTCTGCTATTGTCCGGATTTCCCTTGTTCGACGCCCTACACGTTTTCCAAAAATTGCGCCCTCCGATTTTAAAGCAATGGACATTATGCAATAAACTTTACACATTACGTAAAATAATTGAACCCCGTTTTCGGGCGCTCGTTGCCAATGATTACCTTGCATATATGGTAAATCCGCCGCTGCTTTTCTCCTTACTTTCCCTTTATTATTTTTGGCTCATCTATTTTCTTCATTAAATATCAACGAAACAGGATTCATTTTAATATTTTTTTTTATTAATAGCATTGCACTCTTAAAATCTACCTACATTTCATGCTTTTTTTTTGTTTTCCTCTATTCCTACATTGCTTCTTAATTGAATGGATTTAATATTTTTTATTTACGTATAACTAGCGACTATATACCCTTAATAAAAATATCTAATATAATCTCTTATTAAACAATTTAAATTGGAAGTAACGTGAAAACGTGAGCATATCAATTCAATATTGTAAAAATTTTAGTATTTTATAAATCTAAATTTTAGGATTAGCCTGAATATATATAAAAACTTAAGTATTTAATATTCATAAAGATTTATATATAAAGAAATCACTATTATTATTAATAAAAATTACAATTTACCATAATATTCATGGTCCATATAGTCTACAGAGAGCATATATATATATTTTTTTTTAAATTGATCTTGATTTATTAAGTGGAAGAAAGTGGAACTATCAAAAATGATAAAGTAAAATAAATAATTTGAATTAAAATTGAATTAAATAATTGTAAATTTATATCATACATATATGAATAATATAAATGTACATTTATATGTGCTATATATCGATGGTCCCATGAAAAACTAAACCAACTCTAAAATTTTAGTAAACTAGGATATTTCTGAAATTAAAAAAACATGTAAATTTCGGGTTTGCGTCTAAAATTTTTGAATTTTACGCAGAAATAACAGAATTATTTTCTGCTTATAATATTAATAATATTATTTTTGAAATTATTTGAGAGCTATAGCTGAATTCAAACAGGACAATTGTAAACAATTTAATAATTTAGTACTTATGGGATAAAGAAATTTAGCATTTTTATGACAGAAATTTTTGATATTATGTATTGGTATAAATACGTTTGGCATGTAATTTTTGATAAAAATACCAAACCAATAAGTGAATATTAAAAAATAGATCAAATTAGACTTAAATTAAAGCATGGTATTTCAACACACACTTCAATGAAAATAATCATATAGATCACACAATTGTCAAAAATTTTGCATAATTTGAAAATAGTAAAACATTTTACTTTTCAACAATATTTGATTCTTGTTATATAGTAAGCCAAATTAGCTTACAAAAATCGCATAACTTAAAATTGCATAGTTTGCAAAGTATTACTTCTATTCTCAAAATTTCCGACCAATTAAAACTAAAAACTTTGTAGTTAAGAGTAGTTTTGTTATAACCTTTCAAATAAGACAATTTTCGTGGAAAAAAAACGAAGTTGACTTGGCATAGTTTTCCATGGGATCATTGATATATATACAAGAAAATATAATATGAAAAATTCAAAGCTTAAAATCAGGGTCAAACAGAAAGATGATTGAAAAGATTTGTATTTTTTTTCCCTTAAATTTTTCAATTAAATTGTATTTATGACCATATAAATTATCTTTCAACGTGGAAAATCATAAAATATGTATGTGGTTATACAAACGTACATACACACATAATATGTATAATAAAAATTATTTTTAAATTTTTTTTTACAACTTGTTTATAAACGCATTTATTTATTTTTTTTTTTAAAAAAAAAAGCTCATCAATTTGTTGAGATTTTAAATTGATTTTAATTTTTTTCCTCACTTAAACTACAAACAATTTGCATACAATTTTCATTTATATTTTATTTCTATAGTGCATACTTTGTTTTATTTTGTTGTATATATACATACGATATATTTGATTGCATTTATATAAATTATGTATGTAGATAGATATAAATTAATGTAAATTACAAAAACATGTATAGAATTATTTGTTTATTATAATTTTTGAAATGAGTATAACAGTTTACAATTCTCACGCACCTAGATGCGTTTATTATGCCTTTCTGTTCAAGTGATATACTTTCTGGATAGTATTAATAAATACGATAACAGCTAAGAGAAAAGTTATCGTAAAAATTCATAAACAAGAAGCTCAAGATTACAATTAATTTATACAACCATTTTCTTCTATTTCCGGAATTTAAAATATTTTTCAAGTGTCACTGTTAACAAGTTGTCAAAAATGTTTTAAATTCTAGATTTTTAAAGGAATATCGAAATTTCACCCAAAACTCGAATATAAAACTTGAGTACAAAATTTCAGATTTCTCTCTTAAAACGTGTATAACACATTTGGGTAAATAAATGTAGCTATAATGATTTATTTTTTAAAGATTTCTTTAAAAGTATCCTGAAACGCCTGATGATATGCAAATTTCTCTTCTTTTCATAAAATAATTCAAAACAAACTGGTTTTTATAAATATTTTAATTAAATAGCTCGCAAATATTATTCGTACATAATTTTTGAAATCCTTAAATTATAATGATGAGAAAAATAAAAACAAAAAAAAAAATTTAAAAAGTTGCAGCCCTCATGATTAATTCGATTATTTACTCATTACAAATTTTGTTTTATTTATCTAACATCTATAAACATATAATGACGTCACGCAGAAATTTGAATTAATCGAAAAGGAAATGGACGAATCAAAATATATAAACAAAAAGTAAAATGTAAATATATACACCTATTTTCATATATATTATATCTACAGGTATGTGTGCTCACGCTTATATACTAAAAGAGGCGCCATTTATTCATTCAAACACAAAAAAAAAAAACTTTTCCTAAATATTACACAATTCATTTTCATTGTTAACATGCATTGTTGTGAAAAAAATTTGATATATATATAGATATTGGTATATGTACAAAATTTTGGCAATGAAAGGTGAAATTTTTATTATATACACGCTGCATGTACAAAGCCATAAATTTGTTTGTATGTATATTTGATTAAATATTTTCATAATAACGTGAACAAGTGGATGAAAAGTATGTGTGTGTATTCTTCATACAATCATTATGGTGACCATATATCAATAAAAACTTAAAATATTGTTTTATATTAGACATATGAATCTTGAATGAAATTCAATAGCAATCTTAGCCACATTTTAAAATTATATTGGTTGTTACATACGCAATGGGTTTCTTTTTAGGCTCAGACTTATTGTACTTTTAATAACACTAGCTAAAGGTGATTTCCAACCTATACTTAAAACCTTGTTTTGTAAAGTATTTAACTCGGTCTGTTTATACTCGTACAATTAAATCGGAAAATATTTTGAATAGCAACTGTATACACTTTTCAACCGTGATAGCTAATTATGAAAATTATTAATTTTTAATTTGTTTATTAATCACAAATAATATGGTCACTTTTTAAAATTACCTGAAAAAGGGAAATTACATTTTAATTTCTAATTTTTATTGTTTACATTTAGAATTTTATTGGTATATTAGACTGGTATATTAGACTACAGTTATGTATAGGTATGTGTATGTTTTTATATACTTATTGTATATAAATATCGTACATATAGAAACAAAAGAGCTGCATTTTTGATGATTAAATATTAGAATATTTTTACGTCATTAAAGATTATTACATACTATATATATAAATATATTATAATAATACTATTTGTAATTCACCACCTTTAACATACATACATACGTTACATACATACATTATAAATATTTCTTTTGTTCATTTAGAAAGTCTTATAAAAATAGAAAATTTTGCATTTAAATTTCGTAATATGCAAAGTGGCATTAAACAATTGAATGAAATTTAAGGAATTTTTGAAAATAAGATGAAAATAATGAAGAAAAAAAAATTAATATAAAGAAAGCGCACTCTATATTATTTTAATGAATATTAAATTAATAAAATATTTCAGTTATAGATTAAATTTATATGTCTCGTATTTGTGGTTCGATAAGGATAAAAGAAATAAATTTTGGCAATTTTAAGCTCTTGATAGCATTAAAGCTATGACAAATGGTGCAGTCGTTATGGCATCAGTCTTTTAACCAAAGGGCCTCGGATTCAAACCCTGGCAAGGGAACTATAAAAATTATGCCTCATATTATATAATTTATAATATACGACATTATTAAATAAAATATTAATATAGAAGTAATTACTCATATATCCATAATATTCGATATTGAATTGCAGCAAAAATGAAATAATAAATGTTAATTACCTTCAATATTTAATAAAGATAAAAATACAGCAGGTTGGTCAACGCTTAAATAACTCAATAATCTGCAAAACTGATTTTTGACTTTAGTAAATTGGAATGCCCTAATCGGAATAGAGGAAATTGGTCAACCACAATTCGACCAATTTTACCTATATAAGAACCAATTAATTCAATATTAAGTAGCATTATTTATTTCCTAAACAACTTTATAATTGATACTCGATTTACAATTAACTATTTCTCTGAATTGCAAACACATACATATGTATATGCATACTTGAAACAACAATATATAAACAAGAAATTATCAAAAAAAAATCAAATCAAATTCATACATGATTTAAGAAAACGCTTTCTATTATGAATAAAAGTACTTTCATATCGACATGAGTTGCAATAAATTACATACAAAGTTAAAAAAATATTTCTCTAGGCACAATTATTAGTTTAAATGAATGTCAATTTAGAAAATAAACAGTAAAATTAATTGTAATGTCGGATGATATCGGAAAATTTGCTTTGATTTTATTGAATAAAAAACTAGTATAGGAAATATTTTATTATTTCTTAATTAAGTTATTAACAAGATTAACTTCTATGTACATAGATATGTAAGGCGAACATTTATAATATAAAAACAAATTGAATTAATTAATAACGATCAATAGAATTGAATTAATAAACAACGTTCAAGATAGAAAGGTAGAATTCAAACAAAATTTTTGCATATTTTCCACACGGTGAGTAGGGTAACTAGAGCGATCTGGCCTTGTAAGGATTAGAACAGGACGAATGCGTTTTTGTAATATGGCAGGGTCGTTCTCAATATATTGGTTTGGGTTTTGAAAAGGCACTGTCTTTTAGAAGAAATTGACAATATAGGTTGCGAGTTACTACAACAGATGTTCTGTCGGAGATACCAGGAATTAGCGGAGGTAAAGAACGTGGAACATGTTCTTTTGTACCTATAGCCGTCTCTGATGTGGAAGAAGAGGCGTATCTTAAAAGTTTTCTTCTACAATAGTTTTGAGCAGCTATATTGGAGCGATCTTTGGTCCGGATCCCGAGATTCGTTAAGCAGGTTGATTTTTTACGGTAAATATGCCATGATGATTTCAGTTTTTTTCAAGAAGTTGGTTGGCATGGTGGTCAAATAATTTCAAAGAGGATTACCGATGGGCCTTTTGGTGAAGTGTATGAGCGTAGCAACCAGCGGAGCTCCCTCTCCTACTGCTACTACTACTACTACAACTACTACTAACTCCATTGCTGCTGCTACTATTACTATTACTACTATTACTATTACGAGTACATCTACTTTTATCTAAAACAATCTACTACAGTATTTACTATAGCATCTACAGTATTACTATTACATATCTCTCCTCCTTTTCTATTCTTTCAGTTCTCACCTTTTTAATATCAAAAAATGTTCTGTTTTATCAAAAGGATTCTATATTAGTAAGTGATTAAAGTTTACATGACTAGAGAATTTTGCATTTTGATAGATCTTTTTTAATTAAGATGAGGGCTTTCTAACAGTACTCGCTAAAATTGACTAGATTATTATAATTCAGCTTAAATTTTGCCTATAATTATGCAATTTCTATGAATACAAAATTTCTCCGGAAAAATAAACTTCCAATAAAATATGAAAAATAAGCTTCATATTAAAGAAAGAACCTTATAAACATATAAACAATTAGTTGAAATTTAAATACAGTCAAGTTTATTTTTTGATTTGCTGCAGAATATTCAAATGCAAATAACTTTTAAGTTTATTTATGTTTTTAATTAGTTTTCAACGTAAACATTTTAATATTTAAAACAATAATATACACATAATGTTCTATATGCACAGAGAAATTTTAAATTTCTTTATTTCCTATTTAATACTTAAGAAAATCAAAACAAATATTGAATTAAAATGCAGTACTCCATCAAACAAAAATCTTAAAATAAAATTCAAAGAAAAATCCAAATGTAATAAGAAAAATATAACAATAAAAATATGATAAGAACCAATTTTTTAATTAGTCATACATATGTAAAAATATTTTCATCACTCATCAAAATAATTATGTATACATGTACAAAATATTTTATCCCCAATAAATGCTGAAATTTTCATTTTAAGGGGATAGTTGTACATTAAATGTGCATTCATAAAGAAACGAAACAAAAAAAAAATATAAGAACAATTTAGGAAAATGAGTAAAACACTTCTGAGTGGGTGTTTTGTGCTACCAAAATATTATTTAATTTATAAAAAATCATAAATTACTCGTAGTTTTATATTTTCATTTATATATACGAGTATGTATAGCTTACCTCATATGTTGATGTTATATTTAAATCATGAAATACTGGTAAATAAAAAATTCCCATAACAAATCCCATAAATATAACTCCTCCGGCCACATACACATATTGTATACCATATGAATAAACCTCCGTTGGTAGACCTAATAATGTTATACCAGATATAAAGCTTGCTATCAGGGATAAACTAATTGGAAAAACCTGAAATGAATAAAATTATATAGATCGCATTATTAAATTATTATTATTATTACATTTATAAATTTATGGGTATCAAAGAAATTTCTCAAAAAAATATTCCGGCTGTTTTTTGGAATTTATATGAAAATATTCTATTTTAATGCATTTATGTATAACGTAAATTTATGTGTGTATCTAAACTTAGATGGAACATAATCTAATACTTTTATACGCTATTTGAAATTTATTTCGAATACTATATTATATTTTAATAAATACTTTAAATCAGTTAAAAATTGAGCATGTCGGCTAGATTAATAATTAATTGATAGCAAAATATTTTGATTTATATGACATTAAGGAAAGCCATTCACAATTGTGCCTTTACATAATTGCAATCAATAAGTTGTAAAATTCTGTTTTATAAGGAAGAAAATAATTTACAAATAAATTCAAAAAGTTGTATTTTAACAAGTTTAAAATGAAAATTTAATTCTTTTATATTAAAATATTTAAACTGTTAAAAAATGTATAACAGTTTTATAACAGTTACTTTTGAATAACAGTTTTATAACAGAATTTAATTCTAAGTTTTTATTTGAAATTAAATGATTTATTTAAATAATTTCTGATTAATATTTCAAATTCATTCTTGTTTAGTACCTTAATTAGCTGGTAAAAATAAGCTTAATTCTTAAGTATAAAGAATAAATGCAAACTATTATATCAAAGAACTACATTTTCATATAATTATAATAACTTTAAAATAATAAGAAATAATAAGCCTTAGAATAAGTTATTGAATCATTTATATTTTCAAATATAAGAGAACGTGTGCTGAATGAGCTGAAGCTTCACAATTTTAAGAATGAGTATAGGTATATAAATATAAACATGTTTGTAAAATAAATATATACAAAAAACCAAAAAAATTTCTTCCGAAGATTTTTTTATAATTTTTTTTTTAATTTTTTTTTATTACAATAAAATTATTAATTATTTCTACATAAATTATTATATTCGAAATATATGAAAAATTTCATGCAGTCAATCGACTACCATTACATTATTGTGAATAATCCGAATAAATTTAAAATTAATAATTTATTCACAATATTAATTGATTACTTTTGCAAATGTCAATTTCCGATTTATGGCGATTTATTTTTATAAAAGACGAGTACAAATACATATATATTTTTCTATTTACAATAATTAAACTACTATATATCTATATAATAATTAATATAAAATAAATAAATTAAATTTACCATCATTGTTCTACCACCCATTAAATAATCATCTTCGTCCATTGATTTACTTTGCATAAATCCAAAATATATTCCAATTAAAATACACATAAATAACATTAATGTAAAAACTAAATAATCTGGCCATGAAAATCTTTGCATATGCGAAACAATATCATCAATTTCTGTCATCTTAAATTAATTTTAATTATATATTATGTTTATTTAATTCCGAATATGTACTTATAATGTCGTTACTTAAATAATTTTTTATTAATATTATACTTGTATACCGCAATGTTTTATTTAAAATTCTTATAATTTAATTTATATACTTTTCACTTTATTTAATTATTTTTGTATTTTCAATTTATTTTTATTTTAAATTTAATTTTAATTTAAATATGTGTGTATATATGTATAAACATTTATGCAAATATATATTTACATAGATGTACAATTTTAATTTTATTTTTATGTAAAAAATTTAAATTATATAATTTTAAAATAAAATATTACTTGTTAAAAATTTATTTTAATTTTAATTTAATTAAAATTCAAAATTCATCGCCGAATTTATGAAATATTTTTTTGTATAATTTATTTAAACTTTTCTCAAATTTAATTTCAATGAAAAAAATTTTTTTAACACTTATTCCCATTCAAAATAATTAATTTAAAATTTTTTTTTTAATTAAATAATTTATTTTTTAGTATGCAATAATTATAATTTTAAAAAATTAGATAAAAAAATTTTTAATTTTTTTCAATTTAAATTTATTTTTTTCTATTATTGTAAAATTTCTTAATTTTTCATTTATTTTATAATTTTATTTATTTTTTTTTAATTTTAGTAACGACTGCAACAATATTCCGACGAGAACTAAAAGAACTAAATATGAGAATTAAACGCTATTGCCTTTTTAGAGATCATTATGGGAAATTTTGACCACAGTTGAAAAAAAAATCAAATGATCATCATCATCATCAACATCATGTTAAATAGTAATGATTTATTTAACATTTTAAAAATATAAATGTACTTATAAATAATTTTACAATTGTACTAAATAAAATCTTTGTGCATATGTATGTACATATGTATATGTATCTATAATATTAGTATACTGCATTATATATTTAAGAACGTAGGTATATTATAAAAAAATTTCTAATACGAATAGAATGTATATACTTATATGTATATAAATATGTTATACTATATTAAGTGTATGTATATAAATGTTATATACAGATAGAGAAAGAAATTTCTTTTTCTAATTGAATTGAAATTGCAGGGGTTGCAAGGTTTTTTTTAGTTTTAATGAATTTTTTTTTTATAAATAAAAGTAATAATATAATTTATGAATATATCTGAATATATATGATATATATGAAATGAATTGATTAATCTTAGATTGAAATATAATGTGTAATATACTTCCTATAAATTTGACATAGACTTATAATGTAAGGTATACTATACATATCTTTAATTCTACATATCGGTATGAAAAGAAAAGTTTTAAAATTTTAAAATGGGTGTAACAATTAAGTTGGGACTCCACTCGGGTTAAATTATGAAAAAACTGAAGATATATGTCTCCACTTTTACTTTTAATTCAACTGGATCGATATTTTATCGTTTTATATTTCGGAAAGACTATTGAATTTCGGATATACAATGCCCTGTATATAGTCTAGTCGCAGCGTGTGTATACTATAGCAATGTTATACAAACAAATGCATCATACATATATTTTGTTCACACCAGGCTGTAGACGCAAAACTTCTTAACAAATTCTATCAGTGATTATTCTATACGGTAAAGTTCGTATATTGAAATATGTACAGTTGTTCAAGTATATGTAAGTATGATATATTTATATACTTCAGTTATTGTAAGTATGATATATTCGGTGGTATACTAACGTTTTATTAAGCTTATATATGCTTTCTGAATGATGTTATGTGCAATTAAGTCTGACACAAAATATTAATACAAATGTACATATAAATATAAATATAATATTTTGTTTACATATATATGTATATATTATATATATATCGGTAAAATAAAAGCTTCGTACCTAATTATAAAAAAAGCAACAAATTTAATGAACAAAATTTTACTTTGAATTTGATTTACTCTATATGCTATACTAGCGCCAAAACTACCCTTTAATTCTAAATGTAATATAATTATTGTGATGTTGTTGTTTTTTCCTTTGATGAGGTTATATGTATGCCGTTATGGTGAAAATTTTTTTCAGTATATAATTATTTTTTGAATTTAAATTTATTTTAGTAAATTTTATTGCTGATTTTCAGTGAAAATATTCAATTTTTTAAATTAGGATGGGCTAGAATGCATGACTATCGTTGATGTAAACGAATGTAAAATTAAAGTAATATTATTTTTATTTATAAAACATTTAAGTAAATTTACTGTTATATTTAGAAAATAGTAATTTAAGTGTTGCCGTATAAACTTTATTTACGATTCAAATAGGGGCAAATGTATATACATAAAACCCGATAAAACTACTTGAACAACATTGTGAAAGCAAATCAACAGACCAATACGCTAAATAAATTGCAAACAATTTAAAAATTTAATTTCTTCTTGAAATAATTATAAAGGAAACAATGTTGAAATAGTAAAATAAAAGTTGCACAGTTCGCATCCATTTTAATAACATTTTAACCAAAAAAAAAATTGTTGAATCTCTTCCAAAATTTAATATTGTTCTACCGTATAAAAGTATTTGAATTTTTTAAGAAGAAATTTTTAAATTTGCATTTTAAAAATAAAAATAATGTGCATAGCATAGAGTATACTTACATGTTTATTTATACATATAGTTATACACTATACAAGTAAGAGTTATGCACAACTATACATATATACTGTTTTAAATGTATTAAGCTTATAAAAGCCGTAAAATTTCATTCAAATGTATACTTAAAATTTTCAATTAGTATTACTTCATTAAATTTTTCATGATTTTTACCGAATCATATACAAAAAATCCCACACTTATTTAAAAAATAAAAATTAAAAAAATGAAAGTTTTTAAGAAAGTTGACATTTTAGTATAAACATATGTCAGGAAATTTTGTGAACCTGGCGTAGAAAATCTTTATTAAAAAAGAATACTTCTCTTTTTATTTAAAAATAAGCTACCTGTTGGAATTTTAACCATCAGCAGAGAAACCGATACAAATCAAATATTTTCTGAACGATAAGCCATGGTAATTATAATTATAGTAATTTTTATATCTTTAAAACAATGTTGTAGTTTGTTTTTTTTTGAAATTTTTGTTAATTTGTAATATTTATGAGATTTTTATTATTTTAACAATGCATTTAATAATTCAAATATATATTTATATGGTATATAGCCATATCGCATTTATATGTATATAGTTTTACATATTTGAATAGAATGAAAATTGCTTTTCGAAATTATTGTAAAATTTGGCAAATATTTTTATAGCATTTAATTGTTTAATGACATTATACATATATAAAATTCATTGATCAAAAAATTTTTTTTAATAAAAATACAATTAATTTGCAATAATAAGAGAATTGTTTGAAATTCTCGGACTTCTAAAATTGTATTGACATCAATATATTATTATATGCATACATAATTATTTTCCATTATAAAAATTCAGTTTCCCGCCCAACATTCGTGAAATGTGTTATATGAAAACTTTAACGAGTGCAAGATTTTAATTTGATTAAGGATCTAAAATGGACATATATCATTTGGTCAAGAGTAATTTTTGACACATAATCTTGCTCTAATAAGATATTTGGAAACAATGTGCTTATTACTATCAATCTTTTGCGCCATGTTTCTGTTTGACAATCTATATTACGCCATGTTGTCTTTTGTTAATACAATTAGATTTATGTAGTGTGTTATAGAAAAAATTAATAAATAATTTACGGCTAACCTTAAGCAATATGATATGGCAATAAAATTTTCTTCAATAGAACACATCATTGATTTTCAATATTTTACTTGTTAATACCAGATTATATTTATTTCCGGATTAAAGAATAATAAGAAAAATCAATAGAGCTTGTTTTGTAATTTGAGTGAATGACAATTTTTGTACATTCATATACATACGATATACATATACATATGTATTAATAATTTTTGGCAAAAAAAATTTAAAAATTTGTATATGTAGAATTGTGCACATTATTTACCAACAAATATTTTTGTTATAATTTTTCGTCCACTTTTGTTTTTTTTGTAATTTATATTATTTTTCACTTGTGAAAGTGAAAACGTGTTTTGCTTTCTCTTGTGTTTGTTTATTCGATATGCAAATCGAATAATTTTACATTCCGAAATAAAATAATTATTATTTTATTAAATTTTATAAATTTATTAATTTAATAATTTTGAATTTTCATAACTTGTTCGCAGGCATTTAAAATAAGAAAAATAATTTAGAGATTCTAGATTTGTACAACCGGTGTAACAGTGCCCCGTGACCGTATATAAAAATATATGGTGCACTCCCCTGATTATGGGGCACATCCTGTAATATCAGCTCGAGATCTAACCTCCTGCTGAACTCGAGTACCGTTTGAGGCCCACAATACCGATTTTTCCTACGGGAAAGAGCGTCACAGTGTCCCAAAAGGTGTACGAACTGCTTAATTATACATTATCAAACTATAATTTTAATTTTAATAAATCTTTTTTCAAATTAAATTTATACGAGTATAACTTATGGATAGGTATCATGCTAATCTTTCAATTTAAAATTTCAATTTGCAATTCTCATTTTTCTGATGAATTCTGTATATAGAGATTTTCTTTCAAGCCATTTTATCTAATATACATAGGTATAAGCACTTGATTTATGAAAGTATAGTATATACATATGTATGTATATATAATGCAGCTACAGGAAATCTAGAAATTTTCACAATAAATTTGTAAACATTTGTTTTATTTATAGTTAAATAATAATTATTAATATAAAACATTTTATATCTACATATATAATGTAAATATATATATATATATATATATATATATATATATATATATATATATATATCTATAATATTTTAATATTAATTTAAATTGTTTTATTATTCAATTTAAAATTTCTACATTATATACTTATGTATATATGTTTTTATGGATTATAATATATTTATATGTATATTAATAAATATTTAAAAAAAATTATAAAGGTATATATACCATATATTTTATTAACCTTGATATAGAATTAAAAGTGTTCATGAAAATTTTTAAATTTCCTTATATACATAAATTGCATATGCAAAAAAAAAAAAAATAGAAAAACAAATTCGAATTGGAAAATTTTGTATTTTTTCAATCTTCTATTTAAAATCCATTAAGGTGAATAACTTTATTTGAAAACTCTTCATTAGACCTATTTGTTTTTTCTCCCTCCTCCAATTTACATATATTAAATTTAAATTTTAATTTGTTTTTATTTATCCGTAAATAAGGCAAACGAAAACAAAAAAATTAATAAAAATTAAAATTCAAGTTCAAGTGTTTAGTGCATGTTTTTCATAGGCAAACATACTCATATGTATAAATAAGTACATATGTACATAATACTTATGTTATTCATTATACTGTTATACATACTTACATTGGATTTCAACACCATTTAATTTAGAAATTTTTTTTTTGAAATTCTAAAAATATTTAAAAATTATTATTTTATTGTGAATGCACATTTAGAAAATTTTTTTATGTACATACATGCATACAAATGCATGTACATAATGCACTTTTAGATTTTGTGCCAAAAAAAAAATTTTTTGTTTTTCAAAATAAAGTGGTTTTGTAGAAAGCTCACACAAAATCAGCTGATGAATAAAAAAATTTAAGTTAAAACATATTTATGTACATACATATGTATGTATTTATGTATGTATATTAATTTATCTCAGGGTAAATTTATAAAGCACCATGATTACATTTCGTCGAATTTTTAATTATTTTTTACTTTAATTTTACTAATTGTTAAAAGAATACCTTATGAGGTCAACACATTTAACAGATAAGTTAATAAATTTAATAATGAAATGAGCATTTAATGCAATTATTAAATTCATTACAGAGATGTTTCAATTTTTATGGGCATCCAAAAATTATGGAAAATTTTTTATCCTCTAATGCTAAATACCGAATACTTCTGTTAGTCAATTAATCAATTTAGTTATTTAATTAAACAAATAAATAAAAAACAATTTTTTTTTTGGCAATAATCCAATAATTTTTGCATTTCCAAAATGCATAATTCTCTAAGATATGTATATATGTACATATGTATGTATAATGTACATTTATACACATACACACATGCATATGTAGCTCCATATTTACGAGAATTATTTAATAATAAATAAAAGCTACTTTATTTTATATTTTAATAATTAAAACTCGTAATAACATTTTAAAATATTTGCTCGTATTTAGATAGTCATAATGGGAAGTAATAACTCGAAACTTTTGGTATCGTAAAATTTGACTGATTTTCTCTCTTATTTTATATTCGAAATATGAAGATCTAATATTAAATACTGCCTGGGAAAACTAAAATTCAATGTACCTCTATATAATATTAATGAACATAATTATTTTGGATAAATACCACAAAGTCAAAGCAATATTGGATACATACATACATGCAAACATCTTAAGTTAGAATCCACATAATAATTTATTATCACAAATATAACAATATACATACCATTTTATGACAAAAAAACAAAACAATATCTAAGCACCTTTAGTTCAAAACAAATTAATCCAATAAAATATTTATGTTTAATCTAATATTAAATGTGCAGCTCTTTTGGCAATAGCAATTAAAACTGAATTTGGTGTTCCTGAAATCGGTGTTGGCAAAATACTAGCATCAACTACTCTTAAACCTTCAACACCTTTTACTTTAAAATATTGATCCAATGGTGAAGTTTTATCATAAAGTGTTTCAATCGAACATGATCCGCCAGGGTGGTGTGAATTTAAAGCAACCTCTCTCATTAAACATTCTAAATATTTATCACTTGGTTGATTTGTTATAAAATCTTTTGTAGTTGGACCATACTCCTTGCATTCTTCATTTTTAGCCCAATGTATTTTAGGTTTTAGTTGTTGAAATGATTTTGATTCAATAATTCTGACCGCTGTTCTTACACCTTTAATCATACAATCAATGTCATACTTTTCTTTTAAATAATTTGGATTAATTAATGGTGGATCAAAGGGATTTGTGCTATTTATTTTTATATTGCCTCGGCTTTTAAGTTGATAACAACTTGTAAGTACTACAAAACCTTCTTGGCTTGTATTATAGTAAAGTGGAAAAACTGATCTAAATGAATTTTCTTTAAAATTCGATATTTCCATTAGAAATCGTTCATCAACGCTACCAGCACCAAAAATATTAATACCAAATGATTCATTTGATGATGAAATTGTACCAATAACACCAATATTACCAAAATACCCTTCACCCGTAGTTATATATTTCCATATTTCCCGAGAACTTAAAATTTTATCAATTGTTGCACTAGCTCTCTCTTTAATTGAAACAAATAACGGAAAAGTCATATGATCATAAAGGTTTTCACCGACTTTTGGAGATTCATGTATCATTTGTATATTCAATTTACGTAAAAGATGCTTTGATCCTATACCAGATCTTTGCAATATTCCAGGAGTCAAATAGGCCCCAGCTGATATTATTATCTCTTTTCGGGCTAATACTTTAATCGCTGTTCCATCCTGATCCTTCATTTTAATGTTAACACTTGAAGCCCTTTTATTTTTATCAAAATTAATTTTATCAACGTAAGCATTTATCAAAATTTTTAAATTTTCAAATTTAAAACTTGGTCGTAAAAACTTTTGATAAACATTAGATCTTATTCCATTTTTTATTGTATACTCAGTAAAATGAAAATTTAGATTCTCATTTCTAAATTCAGCTTGAAGGTTTTCAAAAGATTCTGATAATTTTGAATAATTTTTAGGTATTTTCCAAATATCTAATGTACGAGAATTATGATTTTTTTGCGGTGGCAAATTTTGATAATGTGATGAATTAAAATTATCAAATTCATTAAGATACTTTTGAATAGTTTCGTAATCCCAATCTGTTAAACCACATTTTTTCCAGATGTCAAAATCTTTTTTATGACCACCGAAATGAAGCATAAAATTCATTTGGGATGATCCTCCAAGACCCTTACCCCTTGGCAAGCATTGACGCTAAAAAAGAAAATAAAGTAATCAGTTAAGAAGCGTGAGCTAAAATTTAAAAATACATATGTATGTATGTATGTATGCAAAGCTATGAATTGAAAATTTAAGTAAAAAAAAAACAACAATATGAAAAAGAATATACATAGCTAGTTAGTATTAAGTAGCTATTCACCTGTTCATAAATAGCTTTTGATGAATATTTCTGAGGAACGGTCAATAAATTCCAATCATTATTTGATTTTTGTAATAAAGTTGCAAATATTGGAACACTTGAAGTCAATATATTAAATGTAGATCCTGCTTCAATTAATAGTACGCTATAGTTCGAGTTTGCACTTAAAGTAGATGCTACAACAGATCCAGCAGTACCAGCTCCGACTATCGTAGTGTTTACATATTAATACAAATCATCACAAAAATAATTAAAATTTAAAAATTTTACAATTTTACCTATGATATAATCAAATTCTTTTAAATTTATTTCATTTATATCCTTCACTAAATTTGGTATATTTTCGTTCAAACATTTGTTCCAGATTACAAATACAATACTGGCAATGGCAACAATTATTGATAATATTTTTGAAATATTTCCTAAAAATTAATTTAATTCTTTAAAATGCCATAAAAATTTTTATACCTAATTTACTTTTTCTTAATATACCCATTATTAAGGCTGTTGTTTTTCGTATTAATTTAAAATGCGCACTAATATTTAACATTCTAAAATGAAATTTTAAAATTTCTTTTTAGAAAACAAAAGAAAATAATCCAATTAGTTAAAAAAATGAATTCAATATGATGGTAAATATATACATACATACATACATACATATGTACAATGTGCTTACCTTTGTTGTGTTGGATAATGATAACAAAAAAAGCAAAAAATTATTAACGGTGCTTCGACACCCAGTACATAGTCTCAGTTGCTATGAAAGTAAAAAATTAAGTTTTGGATAATAGCAAAGCGCATATTAGTGAAATATGAAATGTTTTTTTTTTATTATTCATATTTTGTGGCATTGTACGATTGATTAAGAGAATTGCTTCCCTCATGCATAAACCTGAAATATGAATTTCTCACCCTTTTAGCAGTTTGAGTTTTTAAATTGGATACAATTTTCATGTGCATAGATTAAATACATTGTAATATTCGTACATCGTCACGTGTAAGCAAACATTTCCTAAGTTAAGCAAGTAAATATTCATAAAGTTTAATAAAATTTTTTGGATATTTTTTGAAAAGTAAAGATTTAATGAATTAATTTAAGAAGATAAAATAAAATTTCAAAAATTTAAGAATAAAAAATAAAATTTATATTATATGTACATATGTTGGTACTTATATTTTTACACTTGCACATACATATATACATAAATTCTGCCCAAGATAGATAATTATGAATTATAATGAAACCTGTTCAAGATAGAAATGTGACAATATAAAATTGATCGAAATATGTGAGTTATTAATTTTTTAACAGGAGAAATATACTATATAAAAAATTTATAGAATTTTATCTTGGACAGACCTATTATTGTATCAGAAAATTATTTTGAAATTTGTATTTTGGAAATAAATGTTTGTATGCCACACGTATATACGTTATTTCTCAAAAGCAGAATAAAACGTTTGATTTCTCAGAAAAAATTAGAATTTGAAAAAAGTTCTTAGGGCCGCAAGCTGAAATTTTTTGTAAAATAGAATAGGTTAAATAATATATGTACATAGGTTCTAATTGTGTACTGCATTAACGGTCTGCTGTACATTTTTTTAAGATTTTCATAGCCAAAATTTAGCTGAATAAATTATCACCTACAATACCTAATTTTTTATCACCTATAATACCTACAGAAAAATAACTACATTTTTAGGATATCTATAATGTTCATTATATTAAAATTATACACATACAAAATTTAAAAATATATATTTTAATTATAAAAATTCTTCTATTAAGATTCAGCCATCATTTCCATATCGCCTTCCGTAGCGCTTTCTTCCAATTTCCTTTCCAATTCCCTAGCATCAACATAAGTAATTTCTTCTTCTTCTTGTTCCATTAGTGCAGCTTCCTCTTCAGCTTCTTTAGCTCTACGTTCTTTAAGACCAGCTGCTGGAGATCTAATTAATGCAATATTTCTTTGAACATCTTTAACATCCATTTCAATTTCAACGTCACGACCCTTGCGAAGTCTTTGCATTACAAAATGAGCTTGTCGTTTTTCTTTAATTTCAGTTACACGTTTCATAGCATCAAGTGTTTTAAGCCATAATTCTCGATTATATTTTATTGGTATATTACGACGTTTTTCGAACTCAAAACTAGGGTCAATTGAAAGTTCTTTGCCAGCTGCTTTACGAAACGCTTTAGTCCATCGAACCTTACGTGGATTCTTCTTCTTTTTAAATGCTCTGTGACATTTGCTTCTGCAAAATTTGAAAATCTGAAATACATTATCAAATTAGACTATACTTGTACATATTATGTAAATTGTGTTTTAATTTTCATAGTTCTAAGATTTGCAATAACTTGTTTTTGATACATGAAATAGTAAATTGTCTATATGCATTTAATACTTTTATACTCATCCATAAATAAACACATTCCCGGTGCTACTGTAGATATAAATAACTACTTAAGATTTTATTTAATTATGCTTACCTTACAATCATTCCTTACAAATTGAATCCCATGACCAGGATATATTTTGCTGGAGCAAAAATAACAAGTTTCTATCCGCATTTTAAATAATTTTTACACAAAATATGCAAAAATTTTTAAAATACAAAATAGAGGCAATTTCACGTGTTTTTGTGTAATTAAAAAGAAATAGAAATTGTCAAACTGTCAAAGACAAATTGTGACATTTGACATTACAAAATCGATTTTTTGTGCCTTTTTGGGTGCTGCCAGTATATTTTATTTTTCGTTAAAAATTTTGTCTTAAGACAAATTTACAAATTGTTGACAAAAATGTTGAAATTTTAGAAATAAAATTTTAGTGTACATACATATGTTCTTTGTATTATTATTTTATAAATTTTTTTACGTTCAAAATTACGTTTAGGCGCCCGATAGTGCACTTTAGAAGTTAGGAAACATGTTGAAATTTCGAGTGTATCTAATCAGGTCTTAGCTAAAAAGTCGTTTCAATAAAACTGGTCTTATTGCAATTGCAGGTTATCATATCTTTAAAATGCTGCTTTGCTCAAAACTTAATCGTATTGAATATCGAAATCTTTGAAATTTTGCAAAGCAAAAAACTGACCCGGCCGATCTAGCATCGAAATTATTGCAGCTGAAAAAAAGTTTTAAACAACATTTAAAATACAACAAAAAATAAGTCTGATAGTTTAGAACTAAAAATTTAAATAAAATCATTTATTTAATATAAACCAAATTACTATTATCATAAATACCAGAGAAATAAAATATCTACATATGCGAATGTATGTTATGCACATCATAAATACCTACATACATACATTTGCATTGTTAACAAACAAAGATTTATAATGATTTTAGTAAAATATATATACATACATATAACGTACCTAACATTGTAAAAAATTGTTACTATTATGCAAATATTTTGCATTTTTTGTTTATTCTAGAATTAAATTCTTATCAACCCATACATAAAAAAATTACTTTGCGTTGATTCCAAATATCACTTGATTAAATTATCTGAGCTTAATCTATTAACCTTACTACATGGCAAATTATTATAAATTTTTTAAACTTTACTTAAGTTTTTGTAGTAAAGAAATTCTCTTCTACCTATTAAATTCCAAATACTATCCTGGTAGGTTTTTGGTAGTACCTTAGGCACATTGATATCACTCGCATAAGTATAATGAAATACATTTGTTACAGAAAAATTCGTATTGACTGTTCTTGTTTCTGTTATACAAACAACTTGTATATTTCTCCCTTCTGTGTAAGTCACGAAAGTTGTCATTTTTAATATACTATTCACATCAACAGGTTTATGGAAAATAATGTTGCTTATACATTTTATACGTGGAACTAAACCTGCATACAATGAAGAATTAATAATACTATTCTCAAATGCTTTTCTCATCAAAAATCCACCAAAGATTTTATTGTGAGCGTTTCTGTTTTCAGGAAATGCAATATCTATGTCGACAATACGAGTTTTATCCATCCAAAAACAATCTGGTGGCAAAATACGTTCCCCCGAAAAAATATCTGTGTTCGGTTGAGTTAATATAAAATTATCATGCATTAATTTTTGTTCCTCTTGTGTTGGTAATACCTTCAATAATGAACTTTCGCGTTCTTTCGAACGTCGATTTTTTCGTTCTTTACCACTCTCCAATATTTGAAGCTCATATTCGTTGTCAGCTTTTAATGGATTTACAGGTGCGGCTTTTGTATTTGTGGCATTACGTGCTGCCATAAGAAATAAAGATTTGGTTATCTTTTCCAAAGACCCATCAGGTTTGACCGTTTCAAGCCATACAACGACTTCAATTGAACTTGTTCCCACCCAAGACACATGACCAGATATCCTAATATCATTATGAATACTGGGAACAACGTCGGTAAAGTTAATTTTATCAACAAGTATAGTTACAAACGTATATGGTAAATTAATTTTGGGATCCAATTTCGGTATATAAAGATGTTTATGACATACCCACACTAATAATTTAAATTAATTAATAAAAACAATAATACAGGTATTTAGATAAATCAATTTTACCGGCAAATAAATCCATGTCTTCCATTAAACGCCCAAACCTAACTGACTGAGATGATGTAACATAGGAATCACTTAGAACATTATCTTTTGTCAATGGAATTAGCGCAGATGTAAAAGAATCATTCATACTTCTCGGTGGTAAATCTTCTAATTTTGGTTCGTATTGCGAAAGATGATCTCTTGTTTTTGGATGTGGTGTATAGGTGCTATCCAAACCTAGCCTTGTCATTATACTTCCTTTAACTGAATTTCAGATATTAAACAAATCATACTACCCAACTATTACATATCTAAAAACTTACTTTCTTTCATTGTCATTATTTTAACATTTCGGTCGATGTATGTAGGAAATCTCCCACCAGTAGAACTATGCCTGATATAAATAGAAAAATCTTTTACATATTATCTTTTTCAAAACCAAAAAATAACAAACTACCTCGAGAATAAATAAGGCTTCATCAGCTCTATTCGTAATTTCAAAATAGTGGTTCTAAACATTATCAAATTAATTTGTTTTTAAACTCGAAAAATATAAATAAGCTTTGCTTTCTTTCAAAAATCAAAATTATGTTTTACGCATTTTAGTAAAATTGACTAAAAAGTAAAACTTGTTTTTTTTTTACTTCAATCAAAACAGACAAATCAGTTTGACATTCAGATCTGATTTACCTTCCTTCAATCCAAGCCGACCATAATTTCACTTGGCTTAATTTTAATTTATGGGTTTATGGGAAGGAGTCATTCTACAAATAGAGTATAAAGAGTTATTATTTTTTCTTATTATAATTTGTGAGGTAAAAAAACTCGCATACGAGATAAAACTTAATATATAAATGATTTAAAATGTGATACAGTCTCTCGAAGGGAACAGTTTAATTACAAGTTAGCTTTCCTATAAATAGATAATATATGTATATTAAAATAACGGTCCTACCTGAAAACATTAGAGGTGACAAATTTCGCGATAAGTAAAAAGACTTAAGTTGGCTTGGCTGCTTGGCTAATAAACGTCAGCTCACAGCTGATTTAAAATAACAATCAAATATAACCTCATATTCAAAAAAAAATTCTGATGGAATAAAATTTAAAAAAATTTTGTATTTTTACGATCCATTTTTTAGATTTATTAATATATTTAAAATGAATAAATATGTTGAAATTATGAAAGTAGGAACACAATATGCTAAGCATATGGAATTCTTAAGAAACAGGATATTTGTTGAAGTTGCACGCAACACCAATGAAAAATCTATGAAGGTAAATCCCATTTGAATTTTTCTAAACTTTTTCAAAGACTTTATGCTTAGGTCGTAAGAATGTTTAGTGAAGAACCAGTTCAGAAGAGGGAAATGATTACAAACTGGTATCCAAGGCATGTTGAAACATATGTGTTAATGAAAAAACTTAGAGAATATGGATTGTTCAGAGATGAGCACGAAGATTTCAAGGAAGAAATGAAAAGACTCAGGAAACTAAGAGGAAAATCTGCCCCAAAGAAAGGCGAAGGAAAAAGATCTAAAAAATAAAATAATTGAATGTTAGTTTAGTTTTTTATAGGTGAATACACATACAAATATGTAATTAAAAGTATTGGGCTTTGTTTATTATTGATATGGGTTTATAAAGGTCTGTTTTATTAGTTAAAATCTCGTGATGCTTTGGCTAATTAGGTAATTTCTAATAGGTTTGCATAAATTTTTTGGATGTACCTAGTAAAATCGCGAATCTTTTCTTGCGTAAGCAAAAAAATAGCTACATATATATGTTTTAAGAAAAGATGACCGAATAACATCTAATTTTGTTTTGACAAAAACAAGTTATGGTTTAATAAAGGTACCAACCCCTCTAATTAGATATAACTAAACATGGAAATGTAAAAAAGAAATGGTTCGATTAATATTTCAAGTTACAAATATTAAGATCGACCTCCTCTGTTACAGCTTCTGAGACATTAAGAAAATCTTATTAGGGTCTTTCAAAAACCATTGTGTCTAAGTGTTTAGAATATATTGTTTTAGTTTTTCTCATTCTAAGACGAGCTACTTACTCCTGGTGGTAATAATTCATTTAATTTGATTAATAATTTACCAGTTAATGAAAAACCATGAAGCACAAAAAAATCAAAAATAAAATTTTCATAAATATAATTTAATCTTTAACTAAAAAATAAAGCGTTTAGGTATAATTTCATATACATTGATATAAATAAATAACTCAATATTCACGTTCTGAAGAAATATATACTATGATATCAAGTAGTCTAACGCCTTATCTTTGTTATTATCATATTTCAAAAGCGCTTCGGAAATTTTTTCTTCCTCAAATCCTAAGTCAAGTAATTCACTTAATGGTATTAAGTGTTCAACAATCTAAATCATAAAAGAAGTTTTTGAAAATAATAATAAATTATAATATATTTTTTACGTACTTTTTTGTCATCAGTTCCCAGCTTATCTGCAATTTTTGCAACTCGTTCAATTGGAAAGCCCATGGAACTAATATTTTGTATTAAATTTTGTGAAGACGGAGATAATTTCAAAAAACTTTCTGGCAGTTTTTTATTTTGATTTTCGATTTGTTGTTTACATTTTGCTATAAGAAATAATTTATCATTTTTGAAGTGACTTTTTTTTTTGAAGATAAAAACGTAAACTTACCAGCATAATCTTCTAAAGTTTGACTGTGATTTCGAATCCTTCTGCTTTCAGAATCCCGTACTTCATCATCTAGTTCTTTTAAAATATCTGGAACACTTTTAGATTTGCTTCTTATCGATTGTATTGCACTTTCTTCGAGCGTTAATTGTTTTAACGTTAAATTATTTGATTCAGTTTGATTAATATTAACTGGAATATTAGATACTATCCTTTGGTTTAAATTTGGAGATCTATACTGATTTAGATTTCCATATGTAATTGTTGGAGAATTGCATGTGATGGTTGTTGGTTGAAAATTTGTTCTGTATGTATTAAAATTATGTTGGTTGTTAAAATTTAAATAATTAGTATAACAAGGTGAATTTGAAGTTTTATCTTTATCATTATTTGACATATAATTAGAAAATTGATAATTCTGATTTGCAGGCACATTTCCATAACCAGTAAAATAATAATTATCTTGATTTGTTAAAAAATGTTGTGGATTAGATAAGGAACCATTCATATTTGTATAATTTTGCTGCAACTGATAATAATGATTAATAGAAGTATTCGGTACTTCAAAATTTCCTGACTGTATTTGTGTGACATTGGAGCTGCTGTTGTTATTTTTCCAATATATAGGAGAAGTCACACCACTCTGACTAACAGAAATTCCATTATTAGTTGCTACAGATGTATTTTCAATCTGTTCTTCATTTCTTATATCACTATTTAATACTTTTTGAGAAATTTCATTAACAGAATTTAAATCATTGATAGCATTTTCCTTTTTCAAGTTCTCTGAATTATTGGAATGTGATATATTATAAACTTGAGCTAAGATATCTAAATCATTTATTGTTTTTAGTTCTACATTATCAAATGGAGAAGATGTATCATTTTCGAAATCGGAGTAATTAATTTTGCCACCCATATTAGGTTTTAGATTAGAACCTAAATTACCTTTCCATGTTACAGGAGTCTGAGAATTGACAAGATTGGGCATATTTCTATCTGGCAATACTGTTGGCTTTAAGATTGTGTTATAATTTTGCTGATTATAAACTTGATTTAATGTCTCTGGATTACAAGTAAGAACATTAACAGGTGTTACACTTGGAGCTGTTGAATTGGTTGCTTCGGGTGAACTATCCGATTCTGCCTCATCACCAGATGAAATTTCATCTGCGTTTGGATAAGAAACAGTTGTTAATAATTGCTTTTGCTTTTCTTCTATTTCACGAGCTTGTTCTAACTCTAATTTTTGTAAACGGGACTGTCTATTAACTTTTTCTATTTCACGAACCCTTTTCCAGTTTTCAACATTTTTAATAACACTATTTTCTAATGCAAAATCATAATCAAAAATTCCGGGAGGATAGCCTTCAGAATTTAATCTATTAATTATAGTTTGTGGAATGTTTACTTTCGGCGGAGGTTTATATTTTTCTGAAATTTTCACTGGGACATCATCCATCATCCAGTATTATGAGTAACAATATATTTCAATGATAAAATTTTTTAAACAAAGTAGAAAATCTACTTTTAATAGATTCCTAACCATTTACCTGAAATTAATTTAAAGTACTTTAATGAATAGTATATAATTCTTATTATTGTAAATGGACAAAAAAGTACTTAAAGAAATTAAGTTTATTACCAAAAAATTATCTTTATTTTCATTACAAAGTTTTTGTTTTATACATCCACCTAAAAAAGTATGACTTTGAAGTTCTGCTAATCAGATTGTGACCCACAACTGTCACTCAGAATGGCATTGCCGTCATACAAAAAATTGTATTACAATAATCAGAGTTTTCCAAAAATTATAAATAATTTGTTTTTAAAATTTTTTTTCGGTATCAACTGTCTAAATTTCAATCTGTCAACTGTCGGAAGAATCAATATAATAAATGCTAACTTCATAGAAATAACATAAAAATAACAAAAATAATATTTTATTACCAAAGATTCAAAACAGTTGAGTTCCCCTTTTTGATTCCCTCACGAACAAATATATTCTTATAAAAAATTTGTATTTTTGTTATGAATAATAGAAGTAAAGGGTATATTTTGTTTTTGTAATAAATTAGATATTCAATTGTTTTTCATAGTTCTATAAAGAAGGAGTAGTTTTGTTTCAGTTTCAAATTTCGTTCTTATTTTGTAATTTACTACTGAACTATTAATTCTACTAATATTCTACTATTTCATTAAAATAATGGATTCTTAAAATCACTGTTCCCAAAGTATAAAGTTTAAAATGGGTAGATCTGAAAACCTAAAGAAAAAAAGAAAATAAAATTCTATTACCAGTCTAATAATTTTAGAGAGCTTTATGACTGAATACTGAACCATCCTTTATTCTGGTTTGAATTCTTCTACGAAACGGTAGATGGCACACTGATTGAAATGAAAGTTTTTTGCTATTTTTTTTTGACTTCATGTAACAGTTTTTAAATTAGTTTGAATTTTGAAACTTTTGGCCTGGAGTGAAATGGAAGAAGTAGCTGTCTAATATTATTTTTGGAAAAGAATTAGTGAATGCTAGTTTACTCACCGATTTGATATTTACGGTAAGGATTGTATGTTTTCTATTTATTTATACATTTATTTTTCTTACATGTAATTAATAACAAGATGTTTAATAATTATACATTTTTTTTAGAATAAAACAAAAATATATATACATATGTACATAAATGTGTACATAATATGTACTTGTTTGTACATAGCCATATAAGCACCTGCCTATACCTGGGCAAGTAAGTACCTACCTACCTACTTCGTAAGTTTAGGGGGTATTCTAGCTTTTCGTTGTAGATGATGGCGCTGAGGGTTCAAAATGATAAACTGGATACCTTGGGATATAATTAGATTCACAAATCGGGTGTTTATCGTCTTCGTTCATATTCACTCTTTGAAGATAAATTGCTTCTTCATAAGTTGGTGGGGCTGTAAGAAAATTGATTTAAAGAACTTATAATTTATAAGTGTATTTGTATATGTGTATATATATATGCATCTATTTTTTGTATATAGTGTCCTCTAGTAGGTACATATACATGTATACACAAACATATGTACATTAAAAAGAAATAACCTGCATCATAATTATACAAATAATTATTATGTATACTTACGCAATCCAAAATTAGCTGAAGAATTTTCGGGTGTTGTTGGGCTTTGAATATCATCAGATGGAGCTGAAGGAGCGGAAATGGGTCCATGCGATTGATTTGTGTAGTCAATAATAGGAATATTTCCAATTTGAATAGGAATCGTAAGAGATGGACTGGTATGTAAACCACTTACAAAAGCTTTAATACGAATTTCATAATAAACTTGAATAATTCTGCAGATAGATGTTGGACATGTTGGAGGAACAGCAGGAACTAATAAATCAGCGTGAAGTGCTTCTTTTGGCGAATTTTGTATTGAACCAATGACAATTTTTTTAACAGTAATTTTTTGCAACTTATACTTATGGGTTGGATAATCACTATGATATTTTATCATTTTTTTTAAAGATATCCCAATGTGTTGGACTGGTCGACCACTTTCATTATATAAATTTACAGTTATAGGTATATTTTGTCCAGAAACATATCCTGATTGAGGTATAGTTACTTCAATTATTAATGGTTTACTTGCACATGGCCAGCACCAAAATGTCTTTGAAACTTGTAATGTAGTTGGCAACTTGAAAAAACAAAATTTAATTTTTTATTAATGGAGTAAGAAAATATTTATCGTTTATTTACTCTGATTGACGGATGTTCATTGTTAAGATCGCTGACTCGAATTACTGTAAATCCAGTTGTAAACGTTTTATCAAATTTCCATGGACGATCGAATACAACTTTAGTTGAATAACGAATTTTACCATAACAACCTTCAACTGATGATGGTAATTGAGGTGGAAGTGCACAAGAAAATGTGTATATGTGTATTCCAGTATCAAGAGTTATTTCACTATCTGAATTATACGAAAATATTCTTTTAGTATGGATATTGATTTGGTACGTATAATTAAATTTTATTTTATAATATTTTATATTTTATAATACTTGTAAGTGTACTTACCATTTGGGGAACCACACAAATATGTGATAGTATGTATATAACTTTCAGAAGCTGTATAGTAAACTGTTTCTGTTCGAGTCTTGTTATTGTGTGGACGACTGTTATCAATATGTTGCTCCATCTCAGTCCATTTAACACTTGCTTGCCCGCTTATAATTAATGAAATACCTTAAATTACGTATTATTTTTGATATTTGATTATAAAAATCAGTATAACATGGAATTATCTATTGTGTTTCAACATATTATTTTACTTTTAAATTAAATTGTGATAAATGAATTGTTATTAATAATTTATTACTTTTGCAATTTCATTTAAAGTGATTCACTAATATCATTCATATAAAGTTAATCATGCATCATATGTGAATCGCTGTAATTTTTTCAATTAATCCTGTGTCAGCCTTTAGGCATTCATAAAACATTTTGACCACTTGATTACTGAGATTTTATAAGTAAAATATTTTGTTTATTTTTCTTCTAATCTTCGATCAAAACTAACTAAATATCAGTTAATATTAAGCAAATGTGCTATTAAGTATTATTAAAGTCGATTATTGATTATTTTAGGCAAATCATTTAAAAATGATAAGAAACTCATTTTTTATTGCAAAAATTTAGTTAGAGAAATTAAATTTGTTAACCTTATGTATTATATATAACCTTATATATCTCGGAATTTGCACGCATGAAGAAATTCAATAAACAATAACCTTAGTCAATTTTTGAAATTTATACATTTTGAAAAAATATGTATAAAGTGTTTTTCAATTTTTAAATCTAAAGCATTTCACCTCGTATTTTCATTGGTTTCTCTAAGATAATTTCAACTTTTCCATGTATAATTGATCCACTATAAAAGGTTGCTAAAGGATTGTTATCAAATTTAATTGCACACTGAACCATTTTGATTATTGTTTCAATTTACTCTACTTAATTACATATTAAGAAATATTGAAAAACTAACTTAGAATTGTAATTTACTTCCTTTTTGTATTAAAATTTAAAATAAAAAAACCTTATCTAATCAAAATACTAAATTGATAATTTTTTTTTTTTTGTATATTGTTAAGTAACTTTAATCAAACGAAAAATGAGTGTGGCGAAATTTCAATATTTGGCACTTAGGATAAGATTATTGAATATCACCTCAAAATATCTATAAAATATAAGTAATATACATACGTAGTATACAATGAGTTAATTAATGTTATAATTAAGTATGTTTGTGGAGTGGTACAAAGTAGGGAAATGTCTATTGTAAGAAAAAATGTGAGTTTTTACTATTCAGCTTTATTTTTTATTTTGAAAATTTTCTCTATTTTTCTTTTAATTAAAATTATTTTGTAGAGTTTTTGTTTTACACGTTAAGTCCTTCATTTTCAGTAAATCTTTCGTTTTGAACCAAAACGGTTATTGGTTCTCGTTTAAGTTTTTCTAAGTTATATTCAACATTAAATGTAATTAGAACTTTAGAATTGAATAAAAAGGAGGCACATGTCATAATTTAAATAATTTAAATTTAAATTTATGTTATTAAAAAAGATAAGATGTTCGAATATAATTAAAATTCCTCCCTGTGGCCCATAAAATTAACTTTTATAAAAGTTTGGAATTTCTAGTTAGTTAGTGAATCAGTTTTCTTTAATATAAATTTGTATTTTAATGATAATAGCATGATAAATGATGGGAATTACGTTTAATTTCTATTATCTTATTATTAATGTTGGTTATTCATTCTGTTTCTCATTCAAAGCTCCCAATATTCTAATGAACTACATTGGATCTAATAAACTACATATTTATATTTTGGAAAACTTTTTTTTTTATTTGCACCTGAAGAACATGAAAAAGTTAGCAAATTAACATAAATATGTAATCATAAATATGTAAATAATTTACATAAATATGTATACATATACAGTATAATATACGAGTGTTATTGAGAAAATATAAAATATACATGTTTAAGTCAAGATTGGGGCACCAACTGTTTCTTGTAATTTGCAATTTTATGTCCTTTTACATTCATCCTTATATAAGTGCTATTTCTCGGATAATTTTTCATTTGTTTTGTTAAACTGAAAAACTGGATATGCTGGTATGTATTTAGATTCAGCTATTGGATATTTTTCATTTTCATTCATATTAATTTTTTTAATGTAAGATGCTTCTTCGTATATGGTTTTATCTACAAAATAATGTAATATAACAAACTTTAAATCTATTAGAGTTAAAATAGCTTACATAATCTAGAATCAGTATTAAAATTTTTAATATTTATTTTATTATTTGAATTTGGTGCAGACATTTCAGTGTTTTCTGTTATATTAATACAATTTTTATCATTTTAGAGGAACATTTCCAATAATTATTGGAATTTTAACAATTGGAATAACGTTTGGTCCATTTAAAATCGCTTTCACATGCACTTCGTAATTAACCTGAATAATTTGACAAATTTCTTCATTAAATGTGGGTGGAACTGGTGGCACTATTAAATTAATATGAAATTCATGATTTTTTGAAGATTTTTGTGTTGAATTTATTATTGTTTTCGTAACTGTTATTTTTTCAACTTTAGAATTTTTGCATGGAATAATACTTTTTAAATAGATTAATTGTTTTAAAGAGACACTGAAGTGTTGTACAGATTTACCGGTCATATTATTTATATTAAATTTAATTGGTATACATTCACCACATACATATCCAGATTTTGGTATAGTTGCTTCAATTATGAATGGTTGACTTGTACAACAAAAACACCAAAATTTTTCTTGAGTTTCCAAAGTTGATGGTAGCTAAGAAATTAAGATGAAAAAATAAATTATATGTTAAATATTTCTTTTTTATAATAAAGAAAAAAATTAATTTTTTAACCTTAATTTGAGGATTTTCGTTATTAAGATCAGTAACTTTAATGACAGTGATTCCAGTTGTGAATATTTTGTTAAATTTCAAAGGGCGATTAAAAACAACTTTAGCAGAGTAACGAATTCGACCATAAACTCCTTCAACTGATGATGGTAACTCTGATGGGAGACTACATGTAAATTTATACACATGAGTACCGGTATTAATTGTTACAGCATTTCCTGATCATAGGGAGATTAAAATAAATAATTATTTAGATTTTTTGTTAGGGATTTAATTAGTACCAACCATTTTGTGATCCATGTAAAAAATTAGTTGAATTTATATAATTATTTTTAGCACTATAACTTAGATTACTCTTGAAGTCAAACCATTCAACAAAACCATATCCACTTATTATTAATACAATACCTAATAAATAATTATTATACGTTTATTCGATTATGTTAAAATAAAATTAATATAAAAAGTTACTTACTTTGTATATCAGTTGGTTTATCCACTGAAATTTCAACAGCTCCTTTAATAATTGAACCACTGTAAAATATTTTCCAAGGATTCTCGTCAAAGTTTATAGCACACTGAATCATTTTTGATTTTTTAATTAAGAATTAAAATCAAAATGTTTTGTACTCTACTGACAATATTGAAATATTTAATTACCGATAGGCAAATTTGAAATTTTTTATAAAGAATTTTCGAAACTTTTATCTAATCAAATTTCAATAATTTTTTATTTTATTTACCAAAATTATATTAGATATTGACGAAACCGAAGAGATATTCGGTATTGAAAAATTTAAGGCTAGTAGCGCATTGAAAAATTGCCTCAGAAAAAAAAATATCATGGTAGGAGGTGTCTGTTTTATGTGTACTTTATGTCGAATGTGTTTTAATTATTCTCTTAAGTAAATACATAATTGCTTTTATTAATAATATTTGCTCACTGATTACAGGATATTTGCATAATTTTTTTTCAAGAAAATTTCAAAGGGTGTGTTTATTTTGTTTTGTACTTATAAGTTACATTTTTTTTAAAGGTTTTACAAGAGGTTATACATAATATATTATTTAAAAGTTCTGAACTAATGATTTTGGTGAAGTAAAGGATGTGATTGTGTGTATTTAGAAAAGCTTAAGTTATGGATTTTCAAAAAGGCTTCTCATGGATAGTCTACTGACAAAACAAACAATCAATTCAATTTTATAATAAAACCTTTGCCGTGCTTTAGCAAATTTTAAAAAATTGTCAACGCAGTAGTTTAAATTGTTTATAATTTTCTTCTTAATTTAGAAAATTCAAACTATATAAGTTAAAAAGTGCAGAAGATTTAGGAAAATGAAAATCTAAAATAGTTTAAAGAAAATGATAACGTCTTTTCATATTAATATTATATTTAATTTATTTACATGAAAACATTTTTTATATACAATAATACAGTAAGCAGTTAATTTAAACACCTAAAGATTTGTACCCCTGGGAATTACGGTATCGATTGACCAAATTGAAAAACTGGATACCTAGGCAAGTAATTGGAATCGGCAATAGGATGTTTTTCCTCTGCATTCATGTTAACTTGTTCAATGTAGAGTGCTTCTTCATACGTAGGTGGAGCTATATTTTATTAAGGATTTGTTTGAAACCATTTAAATTCATTAATTTATTACAAATTATTTTAGTTTGAATAACTTACGTAATCCAAATTCTACAGCAGAAACTTCTGGTGTTCTTGCATTTGACAACGATGGATCGGTTGATTCAGCCGTATTAATATAATTTTTAACATTTAAATCTAAAGGTACATTACCAATAACTAAAGGAATCTTTAGAACTGGAGCTATATGTGGTCCATTAATAATCGCTTTTATATGAACTTCATAATTAACATGAACAACACGACAAATTTCTTCATTACAGGTTGGTGGAACTGGTGGTACTAATAAATTTGTATTAAATTCTTCCTTTTGTGAATTTTTTATTGAATTTATAGACGTTTTGGTAAGATTAATTGTTTGAATTTTAGATTTTTTTCTTGGATGATCACTTTTCGATGTAATTATTTGTTTCAAAGAAACACTAATGCGCTGTACAGTGTTGGTACTCATATTGAATATATTAAATTTAACTGGTATATATTCACCAGATACAAATCCCGATTTCGAAATTGTTCCTTCTATAATAAGTGGTCTACTAATACAACAAAAGCACCAAAATTGTTTCTGAATTTCTAGTGTTGCTGGAAGCTGGAAAATTAAAAAAATTTTATAGTTATATTTTTGTGTCAATTTTTTTATAAAATATTTACTTTGATTTGAGGATTCTCATGATTGAGATCAGTAATTTTGACAATTGTGATTCCTTTTGTAAAAGTTTTATTAAATTTCCAAGGTCGGTCAAAAATTACTTTAGCTGAATATCGAACTTTACCGTAATGTCCTTCAACGGACGATGGTAGTTCTGGTGGAAGAGCACACGTAAATGTATATATATGAGAGCCTGGATTTATAGTTACCGTAATTCCTAATTACAAAATTCAAAATTATGTGAAATTTTTTCTAATTTACTTTTTATTAAATAATATACCATTTTCGGATCCATATAGATAAGTGGTTGATTTAATATAATTATCATTTGCGTAGTAATAAACTGAACTTCTGTTATCGCCGGTTCCTTCATCCTCACTCCAGCGAACATTAGCTTCACCACTTATTACTAATAAAACACCTGTATACAAAGTTTATGCAAATGAAATTTTAATAGTTATTTGAGTACCATTTGTCATAATGGTATTATTTGTCAGAATAATCAAAGTTAATGAATTAATTTAAAACTACTAAAAATTACAATTAATAACGCAAGATTTCTCACTTTGAACGGTAGTTGGTTTATCAACTGTAACTTGAACAGTTCCATTTATAATTGAACCACTATAAAATATTCCAGAGGGATTTTTTTCAAATGATATAGCACACTCAATCATTTTTGCGTATTTTTTCACAGCTACAGCAAAAATACATTCGCTTTCAAATGACTAAACTCAAATACTCGATACAATAATTTTGATACTTGAAGCTTTTATAAATCATTTTTGAATGTTTTATCTAATCAAATTTACTACAATTGATAAATATTTTATCTACAAAATTTCTATTGAGGTACCTTTGAGTACACAGAATCAAAATTAGTCATACAAAATCCTCTTATTGAATATTAAGTAAAATTTGCGTATATAAGATTAATATTTTTGTTTCTTTGCCTTACATTATGTACCTATTTATATTAAGTGGACTTTAATTAACAGCATTGTTCATCAAATTTTTTACTTAGGTTTATTAAAATCAAAAAAAAATTTAGTTGCAATAGGATAATAAAAATATAATCAAAAAAATTCCAAAGTATTAGAAAATTATTGATTAAAGTTAAAGACCGGATATCGTGGTAAATAAGTGGATTCGGCAATGGGATGTTGTTCATTTGCATTCATATTTACTTTTTCTACATAGTTTGCTTCTTCATATGAAGGTGGAGCTGAAATTAATAAAATAACTTTACTTAAATATTTTTTTATTTTAATGTTAAACTATTTACGAAAGCCGAATTCTTCAGCAGAAATCTCTGGAGTTTTGGGATTTTGCAGCAACGAATTTGTAGATAGTGGTTCTTGTTTACTATTTTTGTTAATTGATGTTAGAGGAATATTTCCAATTATTAACGGAAGTTTTACAACTGGAGCTATATGAGGCCCATTTACATGAACTTTAACATGAACTTCATAATTAACTTGTACAATTCGACATGTTATCTCATTGCATGTAGGTGGAACTGGTGGTATTAATAAACTGGATTGAAACACATCTCTTTGTGAATTTTCAATAGAACCTATAACCTGTTTTGTGAGGGTAATTGTTTGAAGTTTTGATTTACTACTTGGATAATCAGATTTTGAATTGATTAATTGTTTTAAGGAAACACTAAAACGCTGTATACGTTTACCACTTGTATTAAATACTTTGAAATTAACCGATATGTATTCACCAGAAACATAACCGGATTTAGGTATAGTAGCTTCGACAATAAGTGGTCTGCTTGCGAAACAACAACACCAAAATTTCTTTTGAATTTCTAAAGTTGATGGTAGCTGAAAATAGTTGAAGACAACAAGTTTCAAAAATATATACATGTTTCTAATAAAATTTTTTAATTTTTAATAAAATACTAACTCTAATCTGAGGATTTTCATAATTAAGATCTGTAATTTTGATGACAGTATATCCGGTATTAAATGTTTTATTAAATTTCCATGGTCGATCAAAAACTACTTTAGCAGAATAACGAATTTTACCATCACGTCCTTCAATGGATGATGGTAGTTCTGGTGGAAGTGTGCATAGAAATTTGTATGTATGATAGCCTGGACTAATAGATACAGTATTTCCTGTTAATAACATAAATTTACATTCAATTTTCACTAATTTTTTTTTTTTGTTTTTTTGACTATTTTACCATCTGTTGATCCATACAGAACAGTGGTTGTGTTAATATAATTTTCGTTCGCGCTATATGTTACTGACTTTTTATCATCGCCCATTCCCTCATCTTCACTCCAATCGACTTTAGCTTCTCCACTTATTACCAATGCAATGCCTAAGCATATTAGAAAATTAATAATTTTATTTAAAATTCATTGATTTGCTTATATTATTTGTGATAATGGTTTGAAAATTTTAAATTTGCCTTTCAAAATTCTCGAACCATTGCAAAAAATGTAAAAATGCTTATTATGTTCTTATTTTGGAAGAAGTTGTAAAATTTTAATATTTCAAAATTATTTTCAGTAAATTGGTGCCAAAATAACATTAAAAGCATTATCAGAATAATTTACATGTTTTGAATGAGTTGAGCGTGAGCACGTTGAAAGTGTGTTATTGTTTAGAGCTTTTTAAAATAAAGTTTGTTTACATTTACAACATATATCTTGTATGTATGTACATATATTTTGTATGTATGTATGTCTTATACATATACCGAAAATGAAAATATTAAAATTACTTACTTCGAACATTGGTTGGTTTATTTACTGTTATTTCGACAATGCCATTTATAGTTGAACCGCTATAAAATGTTCCGGAATTGTTATTTTCAAATGATATTTTGCACGTTACCATTTTATTTACTAATTATACCTAAAATAATTTATAAGAGTGCACATACGTACAACAACCTTTCTCAAGTAAAAATCAGAGAATACTAAACTTTTCACAAAATTATTAAGAACTTTAAGAAAAAAAAATTTGATTTACTCATGTATTATGTGTTTGAAAAAATAGAGTTCTTAGTGTTGCCATCGCGTTAAAAAAAGCAAAAACAATTTGTAAATTGTTCAAATTCTCTATTTTGTTTGAAATGTAGTGTAAACTGTATTATTCTTATTAATAAAGTAAAAATTACTATTCTGTATTGCTGAGAGAATTCTCAGCGGACGTCGCACTGAGTTGCTAGTTATTTTTGTTTTTTTTTTTAATATTTATTTTTTTGTTTTTATTTACTTCACAATACAATAATTGGAATAATGCTATAATATTTATGGTAAAGTCATTTTACCTTTCAATTTATCTTGAAATTTTCTATTCAAACATAAAACTTAAACGTTACGAAGTTTTATGTTTGAATAGAAACGTACAAAACTTAAACGTTACAGGGGGGTGAGGAGTCAATTAAAATATAGAACAGAATGATAGAAATGCTAAGTTTTTCTTTTAATTGGTAAGTAAAGAAATACTAAGCTTTTCTTTACTTACATGAGGGCTTTAAAGCTCTACAGTTTAAGAGCTTGTAATATAAAGTTAAAGCTTTTTTTTGACGATCAATGAATGTTGCAATTTTTGTTAACAGATATAACATTTATTTATATGTTATATAATAATATGTTTGCCGCATAATTGAAAATAAATTTGTAAACTAATTTAATTTTATATATCAATTTTATATAGCAATGAATAATAATTAAAACTGAAGGAACTGCATTTTGATAAAGGTTTTATTAGAAATCTCAATTAAATCTAACAAACAATTTTAGATTTCTGTCTTAGCAGTTTCTCAATAGAAAATAAAGCTTAATATTTTATTAAATGTTACTCATAACAGCTTAAACAAGTTTTTTTTATTAGTTATGTGTTACGTGGTTTGTGTTAATCATTGGTTTTTCCTATTTCTTACTCTTCTTTTAGAAATTCTGCTGGTTATTAATTTTTGTTCTTACTTTACTCAAGTACAATGCTAAATATTTTCAATGTTAAAAATGGCCAAAGCATAAGTATATTATTTCAAGACTTGGTTATAATTATCAAAATAATGCGGATAATGATTTGCTTTTGATTATCCTCTATTTATATGATAACTTATTTTATGAATGCTATTTTATTCTAGTAGTATAACAGTTTACCAACGTTATAAGTATAATATTTCCCTATATACATATATGTGTATGTACTATGATTAGTAAATTATTGATTAAATTTAAAGACAGGATAACGTGGTAAATAAGTGGACTCGCCAATAGGATGTTCTTCGTTCACATTCATATCTACTTTTTCAATATAAGTTGGTTCCTCATATGAAGGTGGAGCTATAATACAAAAAATATTTCAAAAAATTTTTTAAATTAAATATAAAAAAAAATTACATAAACCAAATTCTGCAGCACAAATTTCTGGAGTTCTTTGACGTGGTAACAGCGAATTGATAGATTGGGATACTTGATTTTGAATCTGATTATTTGAAATAAGGGGAACGTTTCCAATAATTAATGGAATTTCTACCACTGGACCTGTACGACGTCCGCTTACATGAACTTTAATATGAATTTCATAATGGACTTGTATGATTCGGCATGTTTTTTCATCGCATGTTGGTGGAACTGGTGGTATCAATAAGCTAGTTTGAAAAAATTCTTCTTGTGTATTTTCTACGAAATCTATAATCTCTTTAGTAAGGGTAATCGTTTGAACTTTAGATTTACTCTTTGGATTATCAGATTGTGAATTGATTAATTGTTTTAAAGAAACACTAAAGTGCTGTACTCGTTTACCATATGTATTAAATAATTTAAAAGAAACTGTTATACATTCACCAGAAACATAACCGGATTTAGGAATTGTTCCTTCAACAGTAAGTGGTCTATTTGGAAAACGGCGGCACCAAAATTTTTTTTTAGATTTTGAAGTTGATGGTAACTAAAAATAGTTAAATCAAGAAAATTAGAAATAAGTTTCACTAAAATTTCTAAAAAAATACTTACTCTTATTTGAGGATTTTCGATTATGTTAAGGTCTGTTATTTGAATGATAGTGATTCCAGTAATGAATGTTTTATTAAATTTTAAAGGTCGATCAAAAACAACTTTAGCTGAATAACGAATTCTACCATCATAACCTTCGATGGATGAAGGCAGTTCTGGTGGAAGTGCGCATACAAATTTATATATATGAGTACCTGGACTAATAGTTACCGTACTTCCTGTTAATATAAGATGATATTTTTTTCAATTTTCATTAAGTTTTTGTTTTGATTATTTTACCATTTGTTGATCCATGCAATATAGTGGTTGTGTTAATATAATTTTCATTTGCGCTGTAACTTATTGTCTTTCTTCTGTCATTAACTTCGTCAATCTCGCTCCAATGCACATTAGCTTCTCCAATTATTATCAGTAAAATACCTGATCGGTATTTTCAAAAAGTAAATAAAGTATCAGTGTTTGTTGTACAATAGAATTTAAAAATCTCTTTTTTTTTTGCATAAATTAATGTTTTTGTTATACGTACACATAATATACGTGAGTTAGTCGAAAATGAAAATGTTAACATTAAAATTACTTACTTCGAACGTTGGTTTGTTTATCTAGTGTTATTTCGACAATGCCATTTATAGTTGAACCACTATAAAATATTCCAGAGTTGTTATTTTCAAATGATATTTTGCACATTACCATTATGCTAATGAGAATAACTTTTCGCAAATTTTTCGAGAGATAATACACAACCTTTCTCAAGTAAAAATACGAGAATAGTAAAACTTAGGTACAATAGCATTGACAATTGCAATCTCTCCACTAATTAGTTATTATGCAATTAATTGAAGCATTTATTAAAAAAGTTGGGAAAATATTAATGTTATGTTGCAATAAAATACTTGCAAACCTATTTCGTTTATTTAATGCTTAATTGATTTATTTTTGCTGTTTGTTGTTATTTCCCAGCCGGTTTATCTAAAACTTTCAAATCATTAGAATTAGTTTGACGCCTGACGTCATTTCTTTTAAAATGCTTTAGAATTTAAAATATTGAAAAATGCTTTAAAAATTGCAAGCTATTTTATTTTATTTTTCTTAAACTCTAAGATTAGTTAGGTACAATGCTAAATGTTTAATTAAAATATTTTCATTATTTTTAATTGATTTTCAAAACTCTGAGGCTGTTAAAAGAAAAGGCAATTTTAAAAGTATATAAGTATATAAGACTGTATAATAATAACTCTATATTTTTTTTCTATTAACCGATTTAAAAAGCAAAAGTTCGAATAATTGCATTTACTCGCTTTTTTTTAGTCAAAAAAATAAAAAGGAACATTTGAAATTGAAATAAAATTGTTTACGGGCTTGAAAAATTTGGGATATTTCTTCCCGCTTGTTTTGACGCATAAAACGTATATGATAACTTTATTTACGAATTCCTTTAAAATGATAATCGTCATCTAGCCTTAATCAACGCTTGTTAATACAACTAAATTTATAGAAATTTTAAGATTTTATATTTCCTACTTCATATCCACTATTTGACTACGTAGTTGTATAATAACATTGAAGTCTAATATTATATTCATATTCCTATAAATATGCATACACAATTTTAAATAATCTATGTGTATGTAAGCCGAATTAGACAACTGAAATTTGCAGAGTTCTTTGAAATGGTAACATTGAATTGGTAGATCACGATACTTAATTTTAAATTTGATTGTTTGAAATTAAGGGAACGTTTCCAATAATTAACGGGATTTGCAAAACTGGGCCTGTGTGAGGTCCGCTTACATTAACTTTTATATGAACTTCATAATTGACTTGTATAATTCGGCATGTTTTTTCATCACATGTTGGTGGAACTGGTGGTATCATTAAACTGGCTTGAACTACCCCCTGTTCTGAATTTTCAATCGAGTTTATGATCTCTTCAGTGAGGTTCACCGTTTGAACTTTTGATTTACTCCTTGGATTATCAGATTTTAAATTAATTAATTGTTTTAAAGAAACATTAAAGCGTTTTATGCGTTTACCACTCATATTAAATAACTTAAAACTAACTGGTATAAGTTCACCACAAACATAACCAGATTTAGGTATAGTTGCTTACACCAAAATTTCTGGTGAATTTCTGAGTTTGATGGTAACTGAAAAAAACAAAAATTAAAGTCAGAAGATTTGCAAATAAGTTTCCATCAAAATTTTGTAATTTGTATAAAAAGAACTCACTCTAATTGACGGATGTTCATAATTAAGATCTTTGATTTTAATGACAGTGATTGTAGTAGTGAATGTTTTATTAAATTTCCATGGTCGATCTAAATCAATTTTAGCTGAATATCGAATTCTACCATCATAACCTTCGATGGATGATGGTAGCTCTGGTGGAAGTGCGCATACAAATTTATATATATGAGTACCTGGACTAATAGTTACCGTACTTCCTGTTAATATAAGATGATATTACTTTCAATTTTCATTAAGTTTTTGTTTTGATTATTTTACCATTTGTTGATCCATGCAGTATGGTGGTTGTGTTAATATAATTTTCGTTTGCGGTAAAATTTACTGACGTTTTTCTATCATTAACTTCTTCAACCTCGCTCCAGCGAACGTTAGCTTCTCCACTTATTAGTAATACAATACCTAATTATTTTCAAAAAGTAAAGAAAGTATCAATAGAATTTAAAATGTTTTTTTTTCCAATATATTAGTGATCAGTTTGTTATATGTACATACGTACGTACATGTATGTGAGTTAGTCAATAATGAAAATGTTAACATTAAAATTATTTACTTCGAACGTCGGTTGGTTTATCTACTGTTATTTCGACAATGCCATTTATAGTTGAACCACTATAAAATATTCCAGAGTTGTTATTTTCAAATGATATTTTGCACGTTACCATTTCATTGACAATTGAGTATGATTTATTAAAAACTTCAACGAATTAAAACCTCGCTGCAGTAAAAATTAGAGAGTACTAAACTTTTTTTACAATTGTATTGGCATTTGTAGCAAAAAAGCTTGAGTATTCATTATAGAATACGTAGAAAAAGTATTGCTGTAGTGTTGCCAGTTTACAAAAAAAATATGGAAGAAAGCAGAAAAACTCTAAGAAGAACACTGTTTAGGAAGCTTTGAAAAAACAATAATTTTTTATAATAACTAATTCTACTTGCAAAGTTGCAAGCTATGTAGGTATTCACACTAACTTTTAAAACGAGTTAAGCTTTTTTGCCGCAAGCTTTTGAGAGTTTTGATCCGCAAGCTTGTATTAAATAAATTTTATTTATTAAATTTCATAAAAAAAGAGATTGTCTTTTTTTAAGTTTTTTATTCAATGTAAAAAAACCCTTAATTTAGTTAAAATATTAATTACTTTCGGTAAAACAAAGTTAAAAAATATTTTATTAAATATTATTCATATAATATGACAAAATTACGTTCCTCATTAAAAAGCATGAAAACATGGGTTTTCCTGTTGCTTGATAATTTTTGGAACAAAATTGTAGACTTTTAAAATTTATTTCAGCCCATACTGAGTATTATGAGAAATAGTGAATGTACGTATGTACATAAAAATCGAAGTTTTTAAAGTAGCGCATTTCCTTCAACGTATTTTTTTTATAAGGAAACGAAAATAGAAATGTTTTTAATTTTGAGCGAAGTTTTGTAAACAGGGAACTACACACGCACGGACAAAGTAAAACTAATAAACTATTTTTCTCTAATTTTAACTAGTAACGGTAAATAATGTATTTGTTAAAAATTTTTAATGGTATTTAAAAGAATTTTTCGAAAAATGATGAATAGCAATTAATTAATAATAATTTTATTATTTTGAAATATTCACATCGCTTTTATAATATTTCTGCCTAATTGAATGAAATTCGAAATAAGTAGGTTCATAATAAATTAGTTTAACTATCGATCATCGAAAAGCGCACACAACTCCCACTTCACACGAACAATTTTTTTCTTAAAAAACTCCTAAAAATCAACCCCTGAGAGCTTTAACGCCAGTTGAGAACTACCCTGTATTAGTTAATTTCACAAATTTTCATTTTATATACAGGAGGTACTTGTAATATTGAAAAATAATTTTATAAATTTGATAAATGGGAGAATTTATTTAATGTTTTGTTCAAACCTTATTTCTTTTGATATTAATTCAAACGGCTACTATAATTATTATGTACTTATTAATTTTTTTTTTTACAGTAAAATTTATTTTCATACTCATATTTTATTAAAAAATAAAATATAGTTATTAAATTTTATGTAAATCATAATTAATAACAAAATTTAGTTATATTTTATAATTAATTGCAATTTTGTAAATTAATTTATTATAATTTTTTTATTTTCGGAAATTTATTTTTATCACGTACATATTATGTAACTTACATATTTATTATACGAGTACAGTAGCATTAATTATGCATTTTGCATTTATGCACAAATAAACTACATATTTATTTTATTTAATATTGCATATACATAATATGTTGGTATATTGTAAGAGAACACTTATTTTTTAAAAAGGTTTTTTTTTTTGGATATCTCGCAAAATTATTGGATTTTCAAGGGGGTTTTGAACTGTGCCTTTTATAATTAGAGCACTACAATATGGAGACACTTTATAAGTAGATTTTTTTTCTTAAATTCAACAACCTTTAAAATGTGTTGTTGTTGTAAAAGTTAAAGGCAAACTTTATTTGAAAATTTTAATATTACAATTATATCTGTTATACCTTATGCTAATTATGTATGTTGACAAAAAAATTTAAAAATTTCAAATGCAATTCAAAAGGTTATTTTAAGTACATATTGTTAACTTTCTAACTGTTGAATCTCCACAGATGTTCTTTACAACATTAGGCATTTAAAAATTCAACTAAAATCTGCTCCATCTTTTTTAAAATGATAACAATAAATTTCGTTATACACAAATTAGTTTGATTATCCCAATTTTCTATGTCATCCAAAGTAAATAATTTTAAATTTTTAATAGTGATTTAATAAAGAATGAAGACGCGGTGTCGGCGGATTGAAATTATAAACTGGATATTCGGGTAATTTCTTTGATTTTATATAACATGCTTCTTCGTATGTCGGTGGATCTATAAAATTAAATAAATATAATAAATTTGTTTTATATTTAAAATGAAATTTATAATTTACGTATGTTTATATCTTTTGCAAATATTTCTGGAGTTTTTGGTGCCTCATACGTACTATTCAATATATATATTGAATTTTGTTTTAAATTTCTTAATGGTATATTTCCAATTGTAATTGGCATAGATATATTCATATTAGCAATACAACCTTGTATAAATACTTGAATTCTTAATTCATATGATATTCTAATAATACGACATATCTGTTCATTACATGTTGGTGGTACTGATGGAACTTTTAAATCAACATTTAATGATTCTTGTATTGAATTCGTAAATAATTTTGTTTGTTCATTTTTAACAATAAATTCTTCAAATTTTTCTTTACAACTAGGAAATTCTGCTCTATATTTTATTATTAAATGTAATGAAATTATAAATTTATGAATTGATTTACCACTTCTATTTGTTATATTTATTGATATGGGAATTTTTTGTCCACATACATAACCAGATTGTGGAATACGGGCTAATATTATAACTGGTTTATTCCAACAAGGACAACATGAAAATTGTTTTTGAACTTCATTAATTGTTGGAAGCTAAAAGTAAGTATTTTTTTTATTATAATAAATTATTTTTTATATTTATTTTTATTTACCCTAATCATAGGTGGTTCATAATTGAGATCTGTTAATCTGTGTACTGTGAAGTAAGATGTAAAAGCTTCAGGTGATTTATTTGGAATACCAAATTCAATAACTACTTTTACATAATAACGTATTCTACCAAAATGTCCCTCCATTGATGATGGTAATTCCATCGGTAAGTTATAAGTAAATTCATATGAATGATATCCTTTATTTAAGTGATGATTACCTTAAAAACAAATAATCTATATTATAAAAATTTTTTTTTTCTTTTTAGGTTACCATCCGGTTCTCCATATATGTAAGTTGTATTTTCAAAATAATCTTGTTTTGCAATATATCTAATACATTCAATCTGTTCAAATTTTGAACGATCTTCTTCACCTGTATCACATAAGAAAACATTGGCTTTTCCACTAATTATTACTTTTATTCCTGATTAAGAAGAAAAAAAATTGTTATTACAACAAATTTGATATTACTTTTATATTTCTACCATGAATATTAATAGGTCCATCCAAGTTAAGATCGAATTCGCCAAATATTGTTGCACCAGCATAATAAGATTTGAATGGATTATCTTTGAATCTTATTATTCCTTCAATTTCAGTCATTTCTGTTCTTGTTTCAATACAATAATGCGTTGAATAAATTTATTTTTAATATTTACTTTGACACCATTTTCAATTAAAACCTTATACAAAACTAATTTATAATTTAATATATTGTTTTAGGCTAGTTGAACAACCTAGTTAAAATTTTATGATTCACTATTACAGTATATAGCACTATTGTTAAACTAAATTCTCATATAAATCTTTCGCTCAAATAGTGCAGAACAAAGAGAATAAAATATGAGCAATGTATTTATGTATATTTGTTGCACTTTCAATTTTAACCCTTACATTTACGGGATTTGAAGACTTAACTAGAATAAAATAATACACTAAGAGTAAGTCTATTGAGACTAAGGTTCATTTCCAAAAAACTTATATGAATAAATGTTATACATTTATAACATTTATTTATATATATAAATTTTGGGATTTGATTACAAACGAAATGCATTTAATGAACTCCATTTATGTCTCCTTTTTATTATATTAATAACAAGTGGTCGAATTTTTGAATTGTAAACGCTACGCGTGATTTATTGCATTTATCTAATTCTAAGACTCAATAAGTCGAAAAAAATTTGAGATTTACATTTTCTTAAAATTTTGAGTACAAGTGAAGTAAATGCCAACTATTGTTTCGATATTCCGATTAGACTTGCCAATATAGCATAACTTTATTTAAAATTTTTTATGCGATATAAAGGGTTAATATTTTTAAGAATGATATTATTTACGGTAGTGTGCCACACATAAGTTGATAAAATGAATTATTAACCGCAACCGCACATACGTAATTTAAATAAAAAATATATATCTATCAAGATATTTATAGTTTCGATTTTAAGGTGTAAAATATTTCAAGAGTCGAATTTAAAATTATTTTATAAAAAGTAAAATAATTCATATTATTTGACTTTCCGAGATAAAATTATAATTTTGAATGCTACATATACTGCATGATATGATATTGAACATGAAATTGTACAGCTTCGGCAAAAATTTCATTTCAATAGTTAAATGAAATCAAAGAATGTTTTTGGATAGTACTTTAACGGTTAAATATTTAGAAGCGGCGAAGAGAGGAAGGTATATAGTACTCTTTCGTATATAAAATTATTATTTGTTGTGATGTGCAAACAGATAGTTACAGATAGAATGAAAATAATAAGTATATTTTTTCCAAATATTTGTTGACAACGTACTAAAAACTAGTGATTTATTTAAAATGAGTACGAAATATAGAATACGAGAACATGAGTACGAATATAGAATACGAAAACATACATATGTATTTACATACTCGTATTATTCAAAATATTTTTAATTTATTCATTGTTAAGTACAAATTTTGGTGGAACTTTTTGTTGTCGGATTTTTTTTTGTTTATTTTGTTGAGCGCTACCGTCTTAATTGATTACTCAAAATCTAAATAGATTATTATAGTTGAGCTTTAAAATTTAACAGAAAACAATGAATTTTACTGGTATGCGAATACTCTGTGCACGTAATTACACAAATTTTAAATCATTCTGATTAGTAATTAATTATGGAATTCCCTAGTATTGACCACCTAAAATTTTACAAACACGCAGTGCAGTAAAAAGTGCCATTAGACGTTTTTGATTTTATAACAGTATCCGTGCTCATATTACTCTGTTTTGGCTTCAAAATTTTTGTTCCTATTACAAACATATTTTACTATATTAATTAATAGAAATACGATGGCATCACAAAAATTAAATTAAAATTTATTGTAATTGAACAATTCTTTCATGTTTATTAAAATTATAAACTGGATATTTAGGTATATATTCTAATTGAATATAACAATTATCTTCATCACAATTAAATTTAACTTTTTCCATTTCAACTGCTTCTTCGTATGTAGGGGGAGCTAAAAATTAAAATTTTCTACAGTATTTTCTTAAAATTACATATTTTCTCCATATACATATATATACTTACGTAAACCATAATTAGCAATTAAAACTTCTAAACTTTTTATATCTTCAGAATTTTCTGTACTTATATACATTGTACTTAAACCTTCTGTAGCATTAATAAACGGAACATTTCCAATTGTTATTGGTATTGCAGCAATTGGACTTAAATATCCTTCAATAGTAGCTTTAGCTCGTATTTCATATTGAATTTGTATATTTTTACAAATGCTTTCAAGGCATGTTGCTGATGTTGATGGTATTTGTAAATCACATTTAAAATTTTCTTCAGGTTCATTTTTTATTGCTGTTATATAATTTTTTGCAATTGATCTTTCTTCGATTTTTGTTTTTGTTAAAGGAAAATCACTTGTAAATTTAGAGATTTTCATTAAATATATTTTTACACTATTAATTTTTTGTGCACTTTGATTAACAATTTGAATAGATGCATGAACATTTTGACCGCATACATAGCCAGTTTGAGGAATTGTTAATCTTATAATAAGTGGTTTATTAGTACATGGCCAAAACATAAAATTTTTCTCAATTTCAACGGTTGTAGGAGTCTGCATATGTATAAAAAAAATGTATAATAAAATAAAGAAAATTATTTTAATTTTTATGCTGTTATTTGCAATATAAATTTAAATCGTTTTTATATACCCTTAATGATAAAAATTCATGATTTAAATCCAATATATTTATAACAGTGAATCCTGTTATTAATGTTTCATTTAATTTTTTTGGTCTATCTAATATTAAATGAGCTGAATATCGTATATAACCGTGACTGCCTTCAAAAGAAGTTGGTAATTGTGATGGTAGTTTGCATGAAAAATTGAAAATATGAGTTCCTGGTTCTATAGTCGAAGTTTCATCTAAAATAAATACATATTTGAAAATTGTGAATTTTACATTTATTTTGGGAGTAAAAATTAAAATATAAAAAAAATTTTATAATTATTTACCAAATTTATTGGATCCAATCAAATAAATTACTGAGTTTAAATAATTTTCACATGATGTATAAATTTCTTGATTAGAAGTAGAATTATTTGGATCAGCTTCAGACCAATTAACATAAGCTTTTCCAATAATTTTCAATAGAACACCTGAAAAATAATTTTTAATTTGATTTACTAAATTTATTTGAAAAATATATACATACTGTTTGTATGTATATATTTTTATATGTAATTAATACTATAAGATTTTAAAGTTTTTAACAGCTTTAAACACTTTATTAATTAACACAATATCATGATATTCATATCAATATTAATTTTTTTTGCCAGTAGATTGAATAAAATAGAATATTTAAGTATAAACTTAATATACGCTCTATGGATACACTTTTTCCTAAATTTTCATATAGTTTCCAAATTCTTCATATATAATCATACTTTTACAATATCAAATGCTTAATTTTTATTAACATCGAAAATTGTAAAAAATTGTTTACCAAGAAATATTTTTCTCTTTTTTAAATTCAAGAACATTTAATTTTACAATTCTAAAGTTTAAGAGCTTTTATTTTTCAATCATTATTTAATTAAAATTTCTGTTAAAATTATAAAAAATTTTTAGAAACAAATCACTTAAAATTAGAAAAATTAATTAATAGTTAATAGCTTTAGAAACATTATGTGCTGGCGCCTGAACATAACTTTTACATTTCAGAAAATTTTAAAATTTTAATTCTCTTTATTTTATTAAAAGATATTAAAGTTTAAATAATTCTAACTATTATTTTCCACGTCATAATTATTATAAAATCTTTTAGTAAATAAATATAAAGTATTTATACTATATATTGGATACTGTTTGATATATATATACACTCAGGTATTCGATTTAAACTCATAATTACACAATTGCTATTAAATTTTTTTTACTAAACGATATTTTTATTACCTTGAAATTCTGTTGCATTATCTAGTATTATTTTAACTTGTCCCGTTATAAGGGAACCACTGCAATATGTTTGAAGAGAATTATCAAATTTTAAACAACATTTAACCATTTTATTAGTTAGAGAACTACTAAATAGATGTGAACGTAAAAAAACAAAATTGTAAAATGCTTTACTTAAATGAATTTTACATAGAGCTTTTATTTTTTCCCTTATAGTAATTCCGATATCTTATTAATATGCCGATAACAAAAAAGTGAATGTATATACTTTCGCTACAATTTATCAGTCTCAAATTTAACAACTTTTCAATATATACCCATATGATATTTATTATCTTATCGATATTTTTCGATAATATTGTACAAGTTAATTTATTGTAATTATAATGTACGAGGTATAGTTTATACACTGAAATTAACAAAAAACTAAATGTGAATTTGAGCTTTGGTTGTTGATGAAAAAATAGTTTTGTTTATATTAATTTCAAATAATATGCCAATTTAGAGGGAATACTCACCGAAATTTCAAGAACTGTATTCGATCAACTCAATAATGTAATACAGCACATTTCCTTTTAACAGTTTTTGTCTATGGAAGCCCATACTTGTAATACAAAGGTGCGTAAAGACTAAATTTAATTACCAATTAATTTAGTTAAGGAAATGGAGTAAGACAGAGAAAGACGTAAACGTAGTAAAATGGAGAATGGTTTTCGTAAACTGACAGTCATACGAAGAAATGGACATATAGACGAAGTAAGACGAAGAAAGCCAAAGTAAAACAGATAAACACATTTCTTCAAAAAATTTTTTTTTGTAATGTGTTAAAAATTATATTTTTTCCCTTAGTCAATGGCAAAATAGTTGACTGACTTATTATGGTGCGGTTTTTCTTCGTATAGATATGTTGGTATTATAATAATTACGAATGATAAAGGTTTTTTTGTTTAATAAAGGAAATTTTTTGATCTTGCGGTTCCAAAATTAGACTTTTCTTTTTTACACTATGGTTTTATGACGTAAATATATTTTACATACATTATCCAATGTGCCTGATATTAGTCATGTTTTCTGCAACTTAAAAGTGAAATTTTGTGAGAATATAGTGAAAAAATCAAAGAACAATAATTATAATGTAAACTATTTACGTATATTTATAACAAAATGAAAATTTAATAAAAAAAACAAAACATAATTTATGGCTTTAATTTACTTTTGATCCAATCTTCATATGACGACACTCTAGTATATATACCAGGCCAACCTTCTAAACCGCATCTATTTCCAAAAGATACAACTCCTTCAATTGTCCATTTCAAGCCACTTTGCTTCATTAATGGTCCTCCAGAATCACCATCACAACTATCTTCATAAAATTTTCCACCAGCACATATTTGGCTTTCTTTAATTTCTTGTTTTTTTGTTGCAAATTTGCTAATACAATCATTTTGATTTATAACTGGTACTTGTAATTTTTGCTTAACATTACTTTTAGCGGCTAAAATACAAGAAAAAGGTGGAATTATAATAATGTAGGAGTGAAAATTAATTTTTTGTAAATTTTGATCAGTTTGTAAATTAATTTTTATAAAATTTTCTATAAAATGTGCTTATATGGATTATTTTGAAGCATAAACTTCCCATGCAACAGGGAGCAATAATAATTTTGTTGTAGTTTATACTTACCACTTGTTGTTCTACCCCAACCCGAAACAATTATTTCTTCACCGGGTAATGTTCTTTGTAAATTGACAGCACTTGGTAAACATACAGGTCTAATAAAAGCAGTAAAATTTATATGATTTTTTAGTCGAATTAAACCAATATCATGTTGTTTATGTGAATCATTATATTCTTCATGTGGTATTATTTCATCTGGTTCAATAAATATAACTGGATCAGCACAACTACTACTTAAACATCCTACACCACAATCGACACAGTCTAAATCTTGTGTTAGATCATGTTCTCCTAAACGAACTGAAACTCTTAAAATAGAAAAGAATATAATAATTAAAAATTTATTTAAAAAAATTTGTTTAATATAATAGTAAAATAAAAAACTTTTATTACAATGGTCCGATTTCTGTTAGTATTTTTCCAGTTAAACAATGTGCGGCTGTAAGAATATATTTTGAATTAATTATTGATCCGGCACAATCTGGGATAACATCTCCATTTTCTGAAAAAAAAGAAAGAAAAAAAATATGTAATAATTGAAATTTGGTTCGACTTGTCAAAGTTCTTTACATTTTTTATATTTTATACATAAAATATGTAATTTATTCGAAAAAACTGCATTTCTTAATTAATTTTTATATTTAATTTATTCAGATTGATTTTGTTTGATTGCATATCAGCTAATGCCTATTGCCACTCATATACTTTATCTGAACGCTAAATTTCTCTGAAAAATGCTAATTTTTCTTCTCATGCCAGTACACCAATGCTAATTAATCATTAATTTTAAATAATTTATAATTTCAATTTTTAAAATTAATTTTCGATCTTTAAATGAGTTGATATCTTGATGATATTCCATTAATAAGCTTATATATGTGTGTATAACAATAAGAATATATAATATTTAATTCCCGATTTCATTTTTCCCAAAAGTATGTACATACGTACATAAAAATTTTCTTCCATTTTTAATTTTATTATCACATTGCTGTGCTATTTGATTAAGCTAAGCTTATTTAATTACCGTTGTTGCCTAGTTAAGCAATGAAACAATTTACTTTTTATTAAATTTATTCAAGTTTTGTTTTTAAATTTGCTATGTTATACAATTGAAATAAATCTGTTAATTGAATAAATCTGTTTTATATTATAGTACATTTATTTAATTATTATCTGAATTATATTCATTTAAACAGAAAATATTCATAAATTAGCGCCTGTATAATAAAAATATTACATCTTTTTGTTTACTATTTTTCGCAATAATTAAAAGAAAAGTGTGAATTTTGAAATTCGAGAGAATGAGCAGTGACAATAGTAATTTAAATTTCCTACAAATACTAGTAATTAATTGTCATTTCTCTCGCTTCAAAAACCAAAAAGTGTGACACACAAATCCGCTCAATAAACTTAACTAATTCGCTTTTTTCTGAAAATTTGTAAATAATACAATATTGTAAGCAATGTAAACAATGCATATCTATTTATAGTATTATATTCTAAAACGAATTGAAATACTATGTAAAACGTCATTATTTTATTGTTTTTACAATGTGGTTAGATATACATTCCATGGTATATACCTTATTAATTAATTAACATATCTTCAATATAATATAGAATTACAAAACAAAATTTAATAAAGATGAAAAAAAAACTTGTTTGGTTTTTATGTACATATATACATAATATACTAATGTAATACTATGTATAGTGTCATACTATAAATTTAGTATATGTATGTGCAGCGGCAAGCTTTTATTACTTTAAGATTTAATTTTTTTTTACTTTTATCTTTAAATGGCTATGATTCAAAGGTTAATATGAAAATGATAGTAGATTCTTCTCTGTTTTAGATTACGTTGAAATGCTTTCATTTTCAATTTGGGAAAAAGCTTTGCTTTTGTATAGGTTATAAGTTGTTGATAAACTAGCGATGATTTATTCGAAACTTCCCATCTGATTTCAATATCATAGCTTAAAAAAAATATGCATAATGTTTGTTTTCAAAGTTTTCAATTTGAATTTTTTAATTTTTTACATACCCAGTTCTTTTGTGTTTTGTTGAACATTTTATGTATAAATTAAAAATATCTGAACTTCTATACTTATACATATAAGGCCGTTAATATGGTTTTATTAAGGCAATGTATATTACGCTTTTTGATTATGTAATTTTTGGATTTCCCTTAAATGTTTCCATATATATGTATGTAAGTTATGTGTATATGTTTGAAAATTATTCCTTTATTGGTTTGATAAAGTAATAAACTAACTAAATTTATTAAAGGAAGCATAAAAAAAGTCAAATAAGCTTTGAAATATTTGCAAGAATAGATGAAAACTAAGTTGTAGAAAAGCCAAAAATATCAAAGCTTAAGCCGACTGAATCATACCCTGTACTTTGACAATCTGACTATAAAAACTTGTTTCTGAAATATTTAAAATTGGCTCTTATGATTGTATAGCAGTTACACAAATCTATGATATAAGATATTAAATATAATTACAGATATTAAATATAAGCTTTTAGGGTTATACGGCAGGAACCTGAATCAATGCAGCAATTCCATTAAAATTTATATAGAATATGTAGTTCAAAGTGTAATTGGACACACGTTTACAAAATTTCATATATAAATTAGTTTTTGAAATATTTGAAATAACCCCTTCGGGGTGAATTGCACCTCCCGGAACCCGTTATCCAAATTAGCTCAATAACAATGGCAGTTGTCCTTGGCATGATAAAGTAGTAATATCGTGATGTTTACTTTATTCGTTTTAATTCGCGATCGGATGGGTGAACAAAAGAACCTATCTTAATCAACGCAGAATTTTAGAACGAGAAGGAGTATATGTTCATACGGCCGACTACTCATTCAAGTAGTTACAAACTCTACACCAAATTTAGCATTTCTCATCTTATCTCGGTTTAGTATTTTGAAAAAAAAATAATAGAAAATTCAATTTTATTAAACTATTTTTAAAAATATATCAAGAGTTTACTTACTTTTTCTATATTCTAATAATACCATCCATGGGAATTCACCCAAATCAGCATCTTTACCATTATAAATACGATGTTCTAATGGTGATGGACCGCATTGTGATGATGATGGTAATATTGCAGCATTTTTATTTTGATTCAGACTATTATTTATTTCATCTTGTGATAATGGTCTTTTTGTTGAAGTATTCTGTTCATATCCATCTTTATATTCTTCATCATTTGTACAACAAACATGTGGCAGAGGTCCAATACCTTTCGAACATTGAGAATTTACTAAAAATGATCGATCTCGTTCAAGTAATGGTTCTCGATATATCGTTTTTATCAAACTTTGACAATAATACATTGATGTACATTTACCAGGTGTTCCATTTGGATTTGTACATGCTATAGATATATGTATATATAAAGATAATTTTTTATTGATGAGTTTGAGTTGTTTATTAAAATTTAATATTAAGCTAATATCAAATCACTTTATTATTTTTGATATTATTTATTTGTACACTTAATTATAATTGCTGTATATTTAATTAAAATTAATTATAAAGAGAGAGAAAAAAAAATATTAAAACTTGCTTGCAGGTTGTTGAAAACTTGATTTAAATGTGATGACTAATAGAATAATTTGAAAAAAACTAAATTTAAAATTTCTAAACATTTTACAAAAAATTATATTTTTTGTTTTATTTTTGTAATTTTAAACTATAAATAAACTATTCACAAATTTGAAATACATATATAATATATTTATATATGTATATGTATGAATGTTGTTTCTAAAATATTGTATTACGAGTTTAAAAAATATTTTTGACCGGTTCCGATCAAAATTTCAATTGACACTATACAACACCGTCTGAGATTTAACTGAGAAAAGCTTTAAAAATTTTAAGTGTTTTAACTATTCTTAGCATATATAAGATGAGATTTTTTATAATCTATAAAATTATTGTGATTACTCGTGAGTATTATACTATAGTGAGATTATAATAATAATACCGGATTTTTTAATAATATAATAGTATATCTGTGTATATGTATAAGAAAATTGGAAATATTTAAAATTTTTTTTTTTTTCAAAAAATATGGTGTATATTCTATACGTTCAATCATAACCGGTATATCACGCAATGAAGTAAAGAGACTATGAAAGATGGGAAAATTACGTGCGTGTGAGAATTTTGGAATTAAATCACGCATTTCAAAATGTGTTTTCCGAACAAAACTATTTGAAGTTTGATGAAAGCAAGTTATGTTTACATATTTTTCTACTAGCATCTACACACATTATTTATCTTGTATTCAAATTCTTATGAGTCATACTATGTATAATGTTTAGCTCATAGATCGATCAGTGAACTTTTTTCTTTTCTATACTCACCTCACATTTTTGTTTAGTAGAACATGAATTTTTTTTTTATTATTATTTGAGAGAATAACTTTAAACACTCTCATTCAGAAATTGTTTTTATAAAAATAGCTTTTGTAATGCGTCAGTCAATCTAATGTAAGTATTTTCCCATGTACCGAAAGTTATTGAATGAGTACACTGCTGATAAACAAAAAAAAGTGTTAAAAGGAGAAGATAACATTCAATTAATACCAGTTAAACAGGAACAATTATGGTATTTAAAAAATTTTGTTGTTCATATTGAAATTTAATCAATGTTTCTCATTAATTTTTTAAGTTTGACATTGAATTTCATTTTTAAGCGTATAATATGCTTTTTTTTTCAAGCACGTTTTTCGGTTAAATTAATTTTTGTTTTTTTGGATTTATGGTAAATTATAACTTTAATTGCTCTTGAAAGAATTGGTAATTTTTTTTTTGTGCAAAATATGATCTGAAATATAAAAAAAAATGTGGTTATTTTATATACAAGTGATTTCGATTTAAATTTTTGCAGACAAAAAAAAAAAAAATTGGGAATAAATATTTTGTGTTAAAAATTGAAATTTTCCATCGATTCCATAACTACTAAGAGAAAGAGCAAAAAATATAATTAAAGTAAAAAGTGCTTTTTAATAAAGTATAATTTTGTGGCTAAGTGGTTTTTTTATCACGCCTTAGAATCACACTTGATTCGGTACCGTTGTGAACATCAAATCCATTAAATTTTTTGTGTTATTTCACCAAGAATGGAATCATAAATTCAAATAACCGACTGCATCTTGCGATTTCATTTCTGCAAATTACATATTTTCAATATGGTTACATGAAAACTGTTTTGTATATCAATCTCAATATCATGGCATCTTTGCGTATCAAATTGGACAACACCTTTGGCGCACATATAATTGATTATATTCAACCGAAGTCTACAAAAAATTGTTTCGAAATTGAGTTCTTCAAATGGGGTATCCAAATTGTATAATCTTCGCAGCCAATTTTTTTTGATGCATTTGATATTTTCTGTTCATTGAGGCATTTAATAAATTCAAATTTTTGTAAATCTAATGATTATGAATCGATAATCAAAAGCCAGTTATACGTAACTATACATATGTACTCACTTCTGCAAACTGTTTCAATAATATAAGGTTAAATAATATACTGGCATACACTAAGCAAAATATTCCTATGACTGCTTTGTCTGTTGCAGAGATTTTTACGAATTATTAACCGAAATCAAGTAACAGAATTTAAAACTTAACATGCAATATAGTGTTTGTATTGAAAAATTGTATTATGATGGTATTACTGTTATATTCAACCACAATTAAAGAATAATCTTTCTGTTATACTTAATAACAGAAAAATAATAGAAAAACTCATACATTATTAACATTTAATGTAAAGGTCCCCCATTCGTATCTCGTCATTATTATCGTGAAATTTAATACTTACATAAATATATAAATATGTGTACGCAATTTATTTTCTATAAGTGGTATACATAAATGCTTCACTTATTAAAGCCATTGAAATTCATGTACATATACATTGGTATATATACAATTTCTTTTCGAAATAATATGACTGTATGTATACATAAAACGAATTAATTTAAATCATTAAATTAAATAAGAAATCAATAAAAAATTATATAAATTTAGCAATTCAATTTAACCAGCGAATGTTATATGCCTGCCACCTTACATAATTATTTTTATGTTATTGACTCAAATATTGTAACGTAATGTAAGTCTATAGGTGTGTATATCATGTCTGTTATATTATACTATATAAAATGTGCCGCTCAATATATTCTTTAATAGGTAAATACAGACATACATATTTACAAATAGACGTACATACATTTTTACTTTTGTAAATTGAAAGCAAAAAAAAAAAAAATTACATTTTTAACAACTTTGATAAAGAGAAAATTTTATTCCTTTTCAATTTTCTAAATTCAATTTTCTAAGAAAAGAGAATATACAAAAAAAAATTAAAATTTAAACATTGAGGTAATTTTCAAGAAAACCCAAACAACTCTTTTTTATTTTTCTTTTTTTATTGTATTGGTTGTGTGTATTTTCTGTTTTTTTCTATTAAGGATTTTTTTTGTTTTTCTTCTGCTTTTTTTTAAATATCAGAAAATAAATTTTTCACTTTTTTTTTTCTTCGTATAATTTGTAATTTAAATACTTTTTTTTTTCTGTGTTTGAGTATTTTTTTACTAAATTTTTTTTCTTTATACAATTTCTTCAATTTAAGTTGTTGTTTCTCTTTTCATGTTACTTTGAAATCCAATTCAATTTTAAATCCTTTTTTTTCTGTATGTTTTCTTTTTCTTTATTTTTTTCCAATATTTATGTATGTTCGTATGTGTATAAGTAAATGTAGATTTTGTTTTTTATTTAATATTATGATGTAGCCTATTTGTATAGGTAATCCACTTTTCCGTTCGACAGAAAATTCTTAACATACATTTACACTCTATAACAACATAATAATAATATGAGAAAAACAAAAACAAAAAAAAAATAAGAAAAACAACAGAAAAAGAACGAAATAAATAAAAACTTAAAAATTGAGAAAACGAACAAAAAAAAAAAAGAAAAAGCAATAATAAAAAAATTTAAGTTTTGAACGAAGGCTATACACACACGCTACACAACATTTATGGTATAAGTCCAATAAAATGATAGACGGGAAGATATGTATGATTGGAAATTTGGTGATTTTAAGAGAAAAACTAAATTTACCATGTTATTTGGTAAGATTGAACAAGATCAAACATTTTGTTGAAAATCGTTAGTAAATATTGTATAAAAGAATAGAGAGGTCTAGAATGGCCATGCTTGCTACTTCATATGGAATCAAAGAATATTGTTATGGTATTATTATAAAAGCAACGGAGCCCTTATATACAATATCGCTAAGAGGCTGATGAGAAAATTTGAAATATTGGTAAACAATTCGAGAGGGGCTTCAAAAAAAGACAAGAATTTATGGAAAAGATGAAAAATCTAAAAATGTGATGGTTTCATTCGATATCGCGGATATTTTTACCACTGTCTCAGTAACGAAATCATTTAAATATTTGAAGGACTGGTTGTCTATATGGACAGGTCAAAATTATACAGGACAAATTGGACAGTCAAAATTAGAGAAATTTACAAATTGGCTAGGTTTTGTATGGAAGAAAATTATTTTAAGTTCAGGAACAAAATAATGTTCAGGACGACATGAAAGAGTATCGATGGGTAATGCGCTTTATCCTTTTACTCCGAAATTATTTATGTCCAAATTGAAGAAATAGAAGAAGAATGTTTAATGCAAGGAATTTGGACTCGATATATTAATACCGTGTACGCAATAGTGGATAAGGAAGAATTGAAAAAAATAAAATATCGAGTTCACATTTGTGACGGAAGTTCTATCTTTCTTGGGTATATTTGTACAAGAACTTGGTTCTTGGATATTTTAGATAAAGCCCCGTCTTCTTTCTTTAGCTTAAAATGTTTATTTAAAACAACAAAGTCTATCGGAAGTATCGTATGTTATTTGAATAATTTGTCAATAATATAAGTGTCACTGTTTCCGATATTGTAAAGACGCTAAATGAAATTTTACTCAAAAGGTTTTGATTTTTGAGTTATACCACTTTTTTAGAACATTATTTTTGAACTACAAATTATTCAATTCAATATTATTTGTTGTGTGTTTTTTTTATTTTCCATTTTTTTTTTTCTTTAAGAAAAACAAATAAACTTATATCTTTTAACATTAATACAACATTAAAGGATCTTTATTTTTTGATTCTAGAGAATGTTGACAAAAAAAGTAAACTTTACATTAAATGGGTCTACATAATACGATATATAAATCTTGTTATGTATGTAGTGTAGATAATCAAAATTCAAAAGAGTTGAAAGATATGAGTGTGAAGCTTCGAACAGAAAAGTAAAGAATTTCAACAATAAAAATAATAAAAATGATAGGAAAAAACAATGAACATAAAGTAAAAATGAGAGAAAAAAAGGGATACAAGACTGTGAAAAATAAACTTTTTTTAAAAAAAAAAAAAAAAGAGTTATTCGTTTTATTTTGTTTCTTATCGGAAAGAAAAAACAAAACAAAAATGTGTTTGTAAACATTTTGTTATAAATATAAATTTATGTTCATACACATCTGTATAATATATTTAACAATACGTGTGTGTTGTTACATTCAATGCATGTAAAGCTAATTTTGTAATAATGATTCCCATTGTTTTTCAAGTATATTTAATACGTGTATTGTTCTACTGGGTGTGTGTGTAGGTGTTTAAAAAATTGTGGTAACCCACTTTTTCTTTTTAATTCTTGTTGGAAAATAATTCAATATTGTATGTACATAAGTCTAATGTACTTATTATGTATTTATATTTTGAACATTTTACACCTTTTAAGTTTC